GGTTTTGTCGGCCATGGCCATGCCCTCCCTTCTCTATCCTCTGCCTACGATCCATTCTGGGTTTAACCAGGCTGGATTGTGTGAGGAGCTCACAGATCCTTGAACGATCTGGACTAAGTCCCATCGGTGAGCTCCTCCGGCAGGCAAGGCTGTGTTCGCTGGGTCATGTAGCCCGCATGCCCAGCCACCGCATGCCCAAGCAGCTTCTGTTTGGCCACATAGAGGGGGCTAAACGGGCACTGCACAGGCTAGAGAAGAGATGGAGTGATGTGGTACAGGAGGATGTGGAGGTAAGTGGACTTGCCAATGGCTTGTACCAGTAGTGTTAAAATCGGCCTCTGGGGAGGAGGCTCATGAAGGATGCTAATGGACAGTTGGAGGCAGTCGCCCTCCAGCACCAACAGGCGGCAGAGGAGCAATGCACAGCAAGTTGGCACAGTAGAGGGCACAGGTGGTGCAGGAGCCAGTCATCTCAGTCAGGCAACACCTGGGTCTGTCCCGTGACCTCCTGCCAGCGGTCATTTGACCGTTCACGTGGCCTTAACATGCACATAGCCTGGCACAAGCGCTGTGGTGATGTCACCGCCACTTAGAGACGAATGGCGGGTATTGGTATTGGTCTCCATATGGAGCGGTGCCGCAGTGGTTAGTGCAGTGCGCCTTGAACCTGGCCAACCATAGCCAACATCGTAACGAATATTGAACTGGTCCTCGGTCTGCCTGCCCTAGGGCGACTCGGCCTTTAATGAGTACCTGGTGCGCTAAACATTAGCATTGGGAAAACAAAGGTGGCCGGGCATGGTTGCTGACCAGCCTTCATAGGTGCACGCTGACAGCACTTGCTCCAACAGTCTGTCAAGGCTATATGTGGGGGGGGGGGTCTTTGTCTTTGTGTGTGCAGGGTGCTGCTGGTGTGGGTGGTGAGGACGGGCAGGACGCGGTGCGTCTGCATGGCGCCGTGCGGCGTCTCAAGGAGGACAGGCGTGCGCTGCAAGGAGAGCTCGCCCAGAGGGAGTACGTGTGCACAAAGACAAAGAAACCCCATGTAGCCTAACACACGCTGTTGGGGCGAGTGCTGTTAGCGAGCACCTATGAAGGCCCGGCACGGTGCAGACACACGGTGGGAGGTTGGTGTAGCCAACACCACGCGTGCCCACCTTTGTCTCCCCAGTGGCAATGTTTGCACACCTCACGAGGTACTAATTTAAGGCTGAGTCGCCATAGGGGAGGCCCAGGACCGGTTCAGATAATCGTCACCAATATTGGCCAATGCGAAGTGCACTAACCACTGCGCCACCACTTCCCATGTGTACACACACGTATTCACACACGCATGGACACACGTGAAAACATGTGTCCACACGTATATACACACACACGTATAGAAGTGTTCGTACACACGTACGAACCCTCATAGGTGCTCGCTAACAGCACATTGCCCCAACAGTTTGTTGAGGCTATATGGGGACTCTTTGTCTTTGACAGCAAGGAGATCCAGCAGCTGAGGCGGGCAACCTCTGATCTGGAAGTGGAAAATAAGCGACTGTCGGTGCGACACGCGGAGGAGCAAATGCGGTGAGAGGAGACACAGGGACGCGCGTAGGTAGGGTGTGTGGAGGGGCTGGTGCGTGTCTGTGTGTGTATGTGCGTGTACATGTGCGCGCTGTCCTCTGGCCTTGCACAGAGAGGAGGTGCGGGCTCTTCAAGAAAAGTTGCGGTGTGTGGAGCGGGAGCTTGAGGAGGAGCGGAGACGTGGGGAGGAGCGGAGACGTGGGGAGGAGCGGAAACACAGAGCGGTGTGTACTCAGCTCGGGACACAATGGCTGCTCAGAGTAACTCGCCACGTTACATTTGGTTTTTCACTCAAGAGCGGTGCAGCCCTCCCTCCGTGTGAGGGAGCGGCCCGCGGAAGTGAATATCACAGAGCTACCTCTGAGAGTCCTTATTCAAATGACCTCAGGTTCACAAACAGCCATGAAGGGAACGGGTGGGGGGGGAGACAGGTTCACGCCCCCTGACCCCACAGCGACATCACCCCCGGTTCGTTCGTCTCGCAGGAACGCGACCTAAGCCCCGCCACTGCTGGCACCGCGAGCCAATCCCGGCACAGCTCTTCAGACTCGCAGGGACGCAACGGCCAATCGAGGCAAAGCTCTACGGACTCGCGGAGACCGAGCGGCCAATCACGGCACAGCTCTCCACAGTCGGACAGGGGCAGCCGATCGCGGCCGGGCTCGGCGAGTCCCGAGCGAGGAAGTGGACGGAGCGGTGCCGCTCAGCGGGCGAGGAGAGCCGAGGCAGCTGTGGCAATCCAGCGGCAGTGGCGACGCCACCGCAATAAGGTGAGGGGGGGACGCACTCTCACCATGGCACCATCGTCAGAGTAAAGCACGGGTGGGAGTGAGGCGCGGGTGGGAGTGAGGCGCGGTTGGGAGTGAGGCGCGGTTGGGAGTGAGGCGCGGGTGGGAGTGAGGCGTGGGTGGGAGTGAAACGCGGGTGGGAGTGAGGCACGCGTGAGAGTGATGCACGGGTGGGAGTGAGGTGTGGCTGGAAGTGAGGCACGGGTGGGAGTGAGGCACGGGTGGAAGTGAGGCGCGCGTGGGAGTGAGGCGTGGGTGGAAGTGAGGCACGGGTGGGAGTGAGGCGTGGGTGGGAGTGAGGCGCGGGTGGGAGTGAGGTGTGGGTGGGAGTGAGGCGTGGGTGGGAGTGATGCACGGGTGGAAGTGAGGCACGGGTAGGAGTGAGCTGTGGGTGGGAGTGAGGCGTGGGTGGAAGTGAGGCACGGGTAGGAGTGAGGCGCGGGTGGGAGTTAGGTGTGGGTGGAGCTGGGGGTGTGCATTACTCATGCATGGCTCTCGCTTTGTGTTGCAGGAAAAGAGTGACGAGATCGACGAGGTGAGTGTGTGCGTGTGTGCATGCAGTTTGTGTGTACACACATTCCGTGTGTGTGTTAATGCCTTGTGTGTGCATGCCTTGCGTGAACGCTCATGCCATGTGTGTATGTGTGCATCAGGCAGCACAGCTGATCCAGTCTGTGATGCGAAGCCACGGAACTCGACGCCGCCTCCTCATTGAGCAGGTAGCGGCACAAACACCTATCATCTATGCAGAGGCACAAAGGCAAAGGTCCCCCGTGTAGCCTTTAGCGAGCTGCACTTATGAAGACCAGCACGGCACACGAGGGGCTGGTGTGGCCAGAACCGCACTTCCCGGCCTCTTCATGCCTCGTGTAATGTTTGCATACTGCACCAGGTACTCGTTTCAGGCTGAGTCGACCTAGGGGAGGCCCCAAGACTGGTTCAGATAATCATGATATTTTTTTTTTGCCCGCGAGTGGAAATTTGTCTCGGGTCGCCGGGTTCACAGCGCAGCACACGAACCGCTGCACTCGCCGGTGCGCACGAGACCCTCGCGCCGTTCTGACCACAGGAGGAGGCCCACGAGCGCCGTGGGACGCCGATGCGTCCACGGGCCCGGCCTCCCCGATGGCCCCTTGTCAACCGCGTGCTCGGCAAGTGGAGACCCTGCACGCTCCGATGTTGTAATCCAAGTCGAAGTGATCTCCAATTGAGCAGTGAGGCATTGGTGCTCATCTCCCGTTTACGGCCCTGAGCCACTGGTGAAATTCCTCATTCCTGTGGCAGGGGTGAGTATGTCCGTAGGGCAATTCACTGTCGACTTACCCACAAAGTGGTACTTATTGTATCAACCCCGGAAGGATGATGGGCCGAGTCAACCCATAGCCAGGATGTGAGCTCGCAGCATTCCGATTGCCAGCCGCTCGCTCTACCACTGAGCCACCGGGCCGGTTGTGTCCAGAGTCAACGCGCTGAATAGTGCCATAGCCGGAGTCCTCCCGTTGTTTTCGTTCTCGGGAGCTCAGACCAAGCCCCGCTTGGCTGTGATTGGCTGCGACGTGCAGGGATGAGAGGAGGGTCCCTCACGCACGGTCCGCTCCTCCTCTCTTCCAGGGCCCCGGCTACGCCGCAGAGGAGGGGGCAGACCCATCCATCATTCTCATCCAATCGGCTGTCAGGGCTCACATCGCAAGGCGTGCCCAGCTGGAAAACAGGTAGCCAATCAGGAGGCTTCCTGTGCCGTGCACCTTTCCCTTATGATGGTATGACGATGTCTTGTGTTGGTATTATGATGGCATGATGATGGTGGTGCTGATATGGTGATCGTATGATGATCCATTGTGTTGGTATGATGAGCCCTGCCCCGTCTGATCTCTCTGCACTCCTTTTCTTATGGACAGAGCCCAGGCCGAGCCGACCTCAAAATTCACACCGTCGCCAACCGGTGAGGAACACAACCACACCAACGATCTTTCCACCGTTTAACACTCACCAGTCGCTCACCGCTAACAAAGACCTCGCACTCATCCTGGACTCCCCATTACGCTGAGACGCGAGCTGTCTGCACGCACGCGCGCTCTCTCGCTCTCCGCACGCCCGGCAGGTGCGTGGGAGCAGCGTGGTGGGGTGTGCTGCGATATCGGAACCTGCAGCGCACTTTGTCCTGTGCTGTGTACTATGCCAGGTGGTTTGCACTGCACTGTGCTATGTGGTGTGCTGTGCCGTGTGCAGGCTATGCAGTGGATACGGTGGGGACCACTGCGCGGCTGGCACTGTGAAGGCCATGCCCCCCCCCTCTGACCCCTTCCCCCGCTCCTCCCGTGTGTGAGGGCCCCCCCCCACTCTCTGGTGCAATAACCGCGGAGTCCTCGGTGAATTGGTGATGACGCCGATTGCGGGTGATGATTGGACAGGGTGTGTGATGCTGATCGGATTGCGTTTGCACTGGCGGTGAGAGTCACATTCCAAATAAATTGAGTTGGCTGTTTCCGCTCCTCTCGCTGCTCTCCGTGTGTGGATTGTGTCTTTCCCCTCTGGCTCTGTGGAGCTGCTGTCTCCTCCACAGAGTGAATCTGGACACGTGTTTCCCAGTCGGCCCTGGGCTATGGACACGGTGCAGTCCTGTGCAATAAAGTTCAATACAACACCGGTAGCAGATCTCGGCACAAACGAACTCCTGCCACCCGAACACAGATGCAAGGTCAAACACGGCCCGGTGGACACCCTAGTTAAACGTTTTAAGTCGAGTTTGTTTAACCAGGTGAGAAGTCAAGAGACCAGGATGAAGCTCATTTGCACGATAGATGTCGGGCATTCGTCTGCTACCAGACGTTGATTGCTGCTTTATAATCCCAATCGAGTAATCTGCGGCGTAAATTTTAAATTTGGCAAATTTGGACCCCAACGCCGGCACACAATAGCCTCCTCTTGCGAACGACATCACGGGATCTTTAACATCCGCTGTGAAGCGGGAAGTGCGCAGCATTACGACTATTACTGTGGCTATTACACCCACAGTAATAACCAGGAAGGCCTGTCAGATTCGAACCGTGAACCTCTGCAACAAGTGATCAATGCGTCACCGCTGAATCACGTCACCACCTTCGAGTGACTCAAACCATCATGCCTCCGAGGTCGATAAAAATGAGGTAGCACTTAAGTCAGTAGTGGTTGCCTATGCATAGACTCGCACCTGCCATAGGAATGTGAAATTTCACAATTGGTTCAGGGCTGTAGACAGAAAGAGGGGCACCATTTCCTCGATGCTTATTTGAGTAGGAGATCAACATCACCTTTATCCTGGCCACCTCTGTGACCTCCAAGCACATGGGGTTCAGATCGATGCTGTGATGGGTTATCCCCGAAGTGGGATGAGTGATGAGGAGTTTGTTCACTGATGAGGAGACCCGCGTGTGCTTCAATGAAGAGGGCGGTTTGTGAGCAGCTTGGGATCCACTGTTTTGGAGGCCAAGCGCCAGGCGGCCAGCAGCTAACAGCACCATCAAAGTTGTAATTTAAGTGAGTGTGGTAACTATTACAAGAGCTTGGGAAATTATGGAAGGGAATTCTAAAGTGGAGCAGTGCACGGGAAGAAGCAGAGAATCGAGGTGAGTGGGTGAATGAGTGCGTCGATGTGACCTGCAGTGTGGTGGTTGACCACAAGTGTGGATGAGACGAGGACTTGAGGACTTCCTGGGTAAATAAAAGTTATTCAATGTGCTGTGTAAAAAACCTGGGATTAGGACACCGCAAGAGGGCATGGTCAGTGATGAGTGATACGGAGTCAGAGATGAGTAGCGGTGGGTGATGTTTATCCTCGCACTGTATATAAACAGGTGACCCTCACGTCGATTGAGTAATGCGAATTAGCCTTGCGTTAAGAGGACATCGCAAGATAATCAGTAGGGGAGGGTGAGGGGGGGGTATGAGCAGAGCGCGAGGTCGAGTGGGGATCGGCCCCGTGCCCCCAGGGCTCCTGGTACAGGTATTGGGTTTCCTCGCCGCGTTGCTAGGCGATGCACTGTGCAGGTGAGGCGTTCACCTGCCCCTCCAATGCCGCCGAGGTGCGCGTCACAGCAGAACGCGGGGTTGACGGCCACCTCGACCCCCCTCCCCTCTGTCCTACAGTCTCAAATTCGCCCGCTGGCGGTCGGGGGAGGGGGGGAATGTGCAGGGCCGCAGGTTCCCCTTGGTTACCGTGGCTCAGCCCGGACCAAGAATAGAGTCTAATCCCCGGGGTGCCATATGGGGCGGCGGGTGCGCTGTCCCTGGTGCTGACACCGCTCGTGCTGCTGCGGAGGGCGCTGCTCTCCACCGGTTGCTGAAACTCGGTCCACGCACGCGTCCTCCGAGCGCTGCCGCGCACCGGGGGCCAGGATGAAGATCAACATACTCGACCAGAGCCAGCAGCACCGGCCTCGGCAGCATCACCTGGCCAAGGTACGCGACGCCACGCAGCCTCGACGCACTCGCAGACTCGGGGGAGCTGTGGGTTTTGGTCGGGCCTTTTGTCGCCGCTGCGGCCGCTGTGATTTGTGTGCAGGGGCGTGACCGTGTGCTCGTGCTCGCGTTCCGGTTGATCATCACGCAGTCCCTTAACCCAAACGTGGAATTAGTCATTTTAAATATTTACCCAGGGAAGCGTCTCCGAGTCTCGGGGCGAGTGTTCAGGCGAGCTCTGCGTGGGATTTGGCTTCGGGTGGCAGGAAACCAGAGAACGCGGAGAAAACCCGCCAAGGTGTGGACAAGGGGCTGCCACTTAAGACTACCATCTCCTGGCCACGCCACGAATAAAACGCCGGACAAACCTGGTGGTCACTCGGCCAAAGAACCAGGCTCAAGCCTGCTTGGCTTCTGAGACCGGTTGCTCAGGGTTGTTGACAAGGGTGGCACGTAACCATTCAACTAATTCAGTGAATCGCTAACAGGCGGTCAGTCACCTTCCCGTCACTCTTCTATCGCTACCACGATCCCGTTACCATAAACCCGTTGATTCCTCCGTCCATGTTGAGGACTCACTCGGTCTCCCAGACACCCGACTGTTTCGTCTCATCTACACTTTGTTCAGTAACCACACTGCGCGTCGCAACAACGAACTCACACAGTGTCACCTCACTTGGCTTTCTTCTTCCCCCAGACTGCCCCACTTCCCTCCTCCTATCGTCTTTCCCTAAGCATGACCGCATGAACCTTCGCAACGTCGATAGCGCTGTCTGTTGCTGGCCGCTTGATGTCACGGGCCTGTGGGCCGATACTCAGACACCGTCAGCTTCCCAACCCCGCCGTGCTGCGTGACGGCCTCCAGGTGGCATGATCAGCGCCACGCAGACGGGTTGTGCAGCCCGCTCGGCGTGACACCGGCGGTCTGTGTAACGGAGCTGAGGGCGTTATCCCCTCGCGAGCAAACGTCTTGAGACTCGGCGAGGCTTCTGCCATGCACACCAAGAGCACGATTATGACGACGATGACGATGATTGTTCGGCCCCATGGAACGCGGAGTGGAGTTTCTGTCTCGCTCACGCGGAGTCGCAGCGCCCATGAGGGTAGCGCCACAGGGAATTGGCGCGGTGGGGGGATTGGGGGGGGACACGTCTGCGTGCTCGGATTGGAAGGGGGGCGAAGGCGTGCAGGGGTGGGTGGTGTGGAAAACGCTGTTGCTGTAGCTTCAGCACTGCGAAATTGAAACGCGAAGTCTCGCGAGCGAACATCATGGGGAATGGTCCGGTGTGGCGTGGCAGCTCGGCGCGCTGGTGACGCGCATGCAGGACTCGGAGCGCGGGGTGCCGATGAGAGACCAGCTGCTCAGCGACACAATCATCCCCGACGCCACCACTGGTCAGGGCACCCCCACGCACCGCCGCCCCCCCCTCCCCAAACGCACGCCCCTACCCCCCCCCCCCTTCCCCCGTCCCCCCACTGGATCACGTGACGAGGCGCGGGTCCCGCTGTGCGCCGCGTGCAGGACGCGACCTCGTGCAGTGGATGGAGCAGGGGCTCCACGTGACCGCGGACGGTGAGAGTCCCCCCCCCCACCAAACCCCCTCAAATTCCCCCCCCCCCCCCCACCACTCCCTACCCCGCCAAACGTTCTCTCCGAGATCACTTTCTGGGGTAACGGACTGTGGTTGTACTATGATAGCCCCTGCCAGAGGAATGTAGAATTTCAACCCCCTGTCTCGCGGCTGTTAAACCGTGCCATGCTCACACAGGCGTGGGGGGGGGGGGGGGCACGAGGCGACCCCGTTCTGCTCCTTGCAGACGCCCGCAGTAGCTCCAACGTTGAACACCGCGCTAGACCTGTCGTGCAACCCGTGAGCAACTTGGGAGCAACTCAAACCCCGCAACCTCCCTATCTCCCCCCCTCCCCCTTCTTCTCCACGCACCTCCCCCCGACCTTACCCGACCTCATCCGCCGGCACCCAAACCCCCCCACCCCCACCTTGCCCCCCCCCTCTCCATTGCTCTCCTCCCATAGAGGCGCTGCACCTGAGCTGGTTGCTGGTCGCCTATGGCTTCGTCTATCCGCTCTCTGAGCCGCGCAACCTCGCGCTGCGCCCCGATGGCTCCCTCTACCGCTTCCAGGTCACACTGTGTGTGTGGGTCACGCTGTGTGTGGGTCACGCTGTGTGTGGGTCACGCTGTGTGTGTGGGTCACGCTGTGTGTGGGTCACGCTGTGTGTATGGGTCACGCTGTGTGTGTGGGTCACGCTGTGTGTATGGGTCACGCTGTGTGTATGAGTCACGCTGTGTGTGGGTCACGCTGTGTGTGTGGGTCACGCTGTGTGTGTGGGTCACGCTGTGTGTGGGTCACGTTGTGTGTGGGGGTCACGCTGTGTGTATGGGTCACGCTGTGTGTGTGTGGGTCACGTTGTGTGTGGGGGTCACGCTGTGTGTGTGGGTCAGGCTGTGTGGGGGTCACGCTGTGCGTGGGTCACGCTGTGTGTATGGGTCACGCTGTGTGTGGGTCACGCTGTGTGTGGGTCACGCTGTGTGTGGGTCACGCTGTGTGTGTGGGTCACGCTGTGTGTGGGTCACGCTGTGTGTGTGGGTCACGTTGTGTGTATGGGTCACGCTGTGTGGGGGTCACGTGTGTGAGTGGGTCACGCTGTGTGTGGGTCACGCTGTGTGTGGGTCACGCTGTGTGTGGGTCACGCTGTGTGTGTGGGTCACGCTGTGTGTGTGGGTCACGCTGTGTGTGTGGGTCACGCTGTGTGTGTGGGTCACGCTGTGTGTGTGGGTCACGCTGTGTGTGTGGGTCACGCTGTGTGTGGGTCACGTGTGTGTGGGTCACGCTGTGTGTGGGTCACGCTGTGTATGGGTCACGCTGTGTGTATGGGTCACGCTGTGTGTGTGGGTCACGCTGTGTGTGTGGGTCACGCTGTGTGTGTGGGTCACGCTGTGTGTGTGGGTCACGCTGTGTGTGGGTCACGCTGTGTGTGTGAGTCACGCTGTGTGTGGTTCACGCTGTGTGGGGGTCACGCTGTGTGTAAGGGTCACGCTGTGTGGGGGTCACGTGTGTGCGTGGGTCACGTGTGTGTGGGGGTCACGTGTGTCTGTGGGTCACGTGTGCTCGTTCTCCTTCTGTCCGCAGGCCCCCTACTTCTGGCCACTTCATTACAGCCAGAGCGAGGACACGGACTACGGTGGGGGGCAACGCCGAGACGACGGGAACCCCCCCCCCACACTCGCCATCCTCTTACCCCCCCCACCCCCCCACACTCGCCATCCTCTTACCCCCCCCACCCCCCCACACTCGCCATCCTCTTACCCCCCCCACCCCCCCACACTCGCCATCCTCTTACCCCCCACCCCCTCACCGCCCTCTCTCTCTCACGCCTCCCCACTGCGTAGCTCCACTCCACTCGCACCCCACTCTCTTGTCACCCCTCCACCCCCCCCCCCCACAACACCTCACCGCCCCCCCCCCCACAACACCTCACCGCCCCCCCCCCCACAACACCTCACCGCCCCCCCCACAACACCTCACCGCCCCCCCTACAACACCTCACCGCCCCCCCCCCACAACACCTCACCGCTCCCCGTGCCAGCTGTGCCCCTCCGTGTTTCCACAGCGATTTACCTGGCGCGGAAAAACATTCGCAGCAAGGGAGAACTGGACGAATACGAGAAGGTGCGATCAGAACCGGCATCATCATCAGCAGCAGCAGCAGCGGCGGCGGCGGCGGCATAATCAGCGTCATCGGCAGTTGCCGTGGTTCCTCACTCGCCCCCCACCCCCCCGTCCTTCTCTGCCCCCCTCCTCGTCCTCGCCCCCCCCCCCCCCCCCGCCCTCACCAGGAGTTGTACTCCGCGCTGCACCAGAAGATCAACCACGAGTGGGATTTCGTGGTGTGCCAGGCCAAGGAGCAGTACAGGTGAAGGGCGCAGGTGGGGGGTGGGGTGCAGGTGAGGGAGGGAGGTGAGGGAGAGAGGTGAGGATGATGGAGTGATATAGGTGCTGTGGTGGGTCTGTCGAGGCGAGGTGCTGGCTGGGTGTGTATCCGTGTGTGTGTGTGTTTCTGTGTAGTTAGCGCTACGCTGCGCTACGAACCCGGCCACCCGAGTTCGATTCCCGCTCACGGCCAACACCGGTGACGATTATCTGAACCATTACCGGGCCTCCCCTAGGTCGACTTAGCCTCAAATAACTACCTGGCGCAGTGTGTACATATCAGCACTGGGGAGACAAAGGCCGCTGGGCGTGGTGCTGGCCACCCACCTCCTTGTGCGATGTGCCGACCTTCATCGGCGCTCGCTAACAGCACTTGCCCCGAGAGTGCGCGGCAGTTACACGGGGCGTCTTTGTCTTTGTCTTTGTTGTGCAGGAGCGGACGCGAGCGTCCCAAAGGCGACCGAGTGGTCCTCGAGTGCCAGGAGCGCGCCCACTGGCTCGTGCGGAGACCCCCGGTAGCCACACGCACCGCACGCGGTGGGGGGGCGCACCGGGCCCCCCATTGAGGGGGGCAGCGCTGGGTGGAGCTGGTTGTCCCGCGTTCATTGATTGTCTTTTTGAACCCCCCCCACCTCCACATCCCGTGCAGCCCGGTGCCTTGCATGCCCTGGACAGTGGACTCAACCGAGTGCTGGAGCCTGGCGCGGAGGAGGTGACACCCTGCGCCCAGCACCCTGCACACCACATCAAGTGCCCTGCACACAGCACCCCCGAACCTAGCACGGTGCATCCTCTAAGTGTCTGTCTCTCATTTTGCAGAAACCAACGGTGGAGCTTTACCGTCGCCAGGTGAGCTCCGCTCCACCTCGCTCCACCTCACCCCGCTCCGCTCCACCCCGCTCCACCTCACCCCGCTCCACCTCACCCCGCTCCGCTCCACCCCGCTCCACCTCACCCCGCTCCACCTCACCCCGCTCAACCCCACCCCGCTCAACCCCACCCCGGATGATCCGGCTCCACCCCACGCGTGTAAACACTTACGAATGAAGTTGGCCAAACATACCACGATAGGACCACAGAGCTTGGGCAAGTTGTTGGCGGCGCCAATTTTAGCTGTTTGAGATCACCCCCCTCCCTCCCTCCCCCCTCCCTCCCCCCACCCGCGCCTCTGCACAACGGCGGCGCGCGATACAAACTCCCCAGCGCCGCACTGGATGTGCCCTTGGCACAAATGACGACGAAATACATATTAACAAAAAAACGTACATCACAAGCAACACGTGGCACACAAACTACGCGTGCGTCCCGTACACAGCGGTGTCGTCCTTTTGTGTTCAGCGTGTTGTCCTTCCGTCGCACCTCCGCGTTCGCAGCGTTGGCTACGTACGGTGAGAAAGAAGTTCAGTGTGCATGGATTCATGTTGCTGTGGGGCGGCGGGTGGAGGCGGGGGGGGGTTTCGTGTTGCTGACCTGGCCGTGAACCGTGTCCCCCAGGTCATGTACTACCAGCAGGCCGCGTTGCGTTCTCGTACCAAGTCCTCCGTCTCCCTCGGGAGGTGAGGCCTGACACGAAATGGGGGGGGGGGGGGTGTGGGGGGTGTGAGGGGCGGGGGTACGCTAACCCATGACACTCCCCCCCCCCTTAGTCTGTTGAAGTTCACGGAGTCGTCCAGCGTGTACGACCCCCTACTCACCACGTGTCTCCCCAGCAACCCCTGGGTAACGGACGACACCATGTACTGGACCCTCAACTCCCCCAGGTGACAGTGCTCACGGGACGACATCCCCGTGACCATAACCATGGCCCTAGCCATAGGCCTGACCCTTCACCTAAAGCTCATCACAATTGTCAATAACGCAAGCATTATTTTATACGGGCAATGGAGAAGGGTCATTGCCCGAAACGTCGCCTATTATATATTTTTTCTGTCAAGGCTGCAGTGTTATTGATGGACGTGTTGAGTGTGTTAGTTTGTTAAGTGAACTTTGCGCGCCACTGCCAACGCAGCAGCAGCACCATATCGTGTCACATGAACACTCGCTCTGACCCCAACACTCATACTAGCCCCGCATACGTGATGTCTGTGTGTTGTGTACGCGTGGCTTGTGTTGCGTACACGTGTTGTCTTTGCGTGGTGTGTGCCGTGTACGCGTGGTGTGTGCACGTGTTGTGTATACGTGGTGTGTTGTGTGCATGTGTATACGTGGTGTGTGGTGTGTATACGTGGTGTGTACGTACACGTGTTGTGTACACGTGTTGTGTACACGTGGTGTGTGGTGTGTACACGTGGCGTGTGGCGTGTACACGTGTTGTGTATACGTGCTGTGTGGTGTATACACGTGGCGTGTGGTGTGTACACGTGTTGTGTATACGTGCTGTGTGGTGTGTACACGTGGCGTGTGGTGTGTACACGTGTTGTGTATACGTGCTGTGTGGTGTGTACACGTGGCGTGTGGTGTGTACACGTGGTGTGTGGTGTGTACACGTGTTGTGTATACGTGTTGTGTGGTGTGTACACGTGGCGTGTGGTGTGTACACGTGTTGTGTATACGTGCTGTGTGGTGTATACACGTGGCGTGTGGTGTGTACACGTGTTGTGTATACGTGCTGTGTGGTGTGTACACGTGGCGTGTGGTGTACACGTGTTGTGTATACGTGCTGTGTGGTGTGTACACGTGGCGTGTGGTGTGTACACGTGTTGTGTACACGTGGCGTGTGGTGTATACACGTGGCGTGTGGTGTGTACACGTGTTGTGTATACGTGCTGTGTGGTGTGTACACGTGGCGTGTGGTGTGTACACGTGTTGTGTATACGTGCTGTGTGGTGTGTACACGTGGCGTGTGGTGTGTACACGTGTTGTGTATACGTGCTGTGTGGTGTGTACACGTGGCGTGTGGTGTGTACACGTGTTGTGTATACGTGCTGTGTGGTGTGTACACGTGGCGTGTGGTGTGTACACGTGTTGTGTATACGTGCTGTGTGGTGTGTACACGTGGCGTGTGGTGTGTACACGTGTTGTGTATACGTGCTGTGTGGTGTGTACACGTGGCGTGTGGTGTGTACACGTGTTGTGCTCAGCGTGGAGGTGCCCACGCGGCTGCGTGTGGAGCGCTGGGCGTTCTCGTTCCGGGAGCTGCTCCGTGACCCGCGGGGCCGACGCGAGTTCCAGGCCTTCCTCAAGAAAGAGTTCAGCGGTGCGGGGGGGGGGGGGTTGAGGGGGGCGGAGATGAGGGAGGGGGCACAGGTAGGGGGAGGCTGCCCCCCACATGGCCTCCGCATAACGGCTGGGACAGCGCAGCCCTCGACTGTGTGTGAAGAATAGATCTCAGAGGTAGCTCCGTGATATCCGCTTCCGCGGCCCGCTCTTTCACACGGAGCGAGGCCGGCACTGCTCTGCGAGGTTGTTGACTGTGTGCTCCATCACGTGACGGCGATAGCAACATCGGGGACACGCGTTTGGGGGTATGCGCTGTCGTGTAATGTGCGATGTTTGTGATGGCGCAGGGGAGAATCTTGCATTCTGGGAAGCCTGTGAGGACCTGAAGCATGGGGATCAGAGTAAAGCGAAGGAGAAGGCGGAGGAGATCTACAAGTGAGTGGCGGGGGTTTGGGTGCGCCTCTCTCCCCTCTCACTTACCTCTCCCGCTCTCGAATTCCAACTCTCATCCTTCTTCCCTCCCTGCTCACTCGGTTTCAGATGCCCTCCCGCACGCTTCTCCCTCTGCCTCTCGCTCGCTCTCTCATCTCTCCCCCACGCGCTCCCCCCCCCCCCCAGGCTGTTCCTGGCGCAGGGCGCGCGCCGTTGGATCAACATCGACGGGAAGACCATGGACATCACGGTGCGCGGCATCCAGTGCCCGCACCGCTACGTGCTGGACGCCGCGCAGACGCACATCTACATGCTCATGAAGAAGGTGGGGGGAAGCGCGCGGGGGCTGGGGAGGGGGCGACTGGCGTGGCGGTGACATCACCACGGAGCTTGTGCCAGGCTATGTGCACCATTGACGACACCACGTGAAGTGTCGAACGCCCGCTCGCAGGAGGTCACGGGGCAGAGCCAGGTGCCATGGGTCGGCTGACTGAGATGACTGGCCGATGCACCACCTGTTGCCCCCTACCGTGCCAACTACAGCACGCAGCCTAGGGCAGCCACGTTTTCAGTTCTAGGTGTAAACTCGGACTTGTTTCTCAGGCACCCTGGCCCTATCAGCACTGTACAGTACCAGTGCAACGCCGGTACCACAGCTAAGGTACAAATCAATTCCTGTACCAGACACACAGACGCCAGGACTGCCTCGGACGATCTGGGGTCAGATCTAGACAAAGTGGCAACCCAAGAATTTACTGAGCCCATAATTTGCACGGGGGTTCATACAATGAGCACCGCCTTTGAGGGTTGAACAGTGGATGTCTGGGTCAAACCTGACTTCTCCTCTTGACCTTGATCCTGACCCCTGCCTACAGGACACCTTCTACCGCTACCTCAAGTCGGACCTCTACAAGAGTCTCCTCGCCAAGGCCGTGGTGCCGCGTGAGACCGACAAGAAGTGAGAACCCCCTCCCCTCTACCCCCTTCCCAGGGCGATGCCCACCCCCCGCCACCCCCGAGATGGGCTGGGACTGGTCCCGCGAGAGGTAAGCGGTGGCCACACGGGGACCTGCGTGTCCGTTACTGCACGAGCGGAGGAGTGGAGGAGGAATGGATCCGCAAATCAGGAAGGAAACGAAAATCAGGCGCAAATCTTCTGGGACGGACACGGAATCGGCGACGAGGGAAAAGATACAATACTCATCGATGGCAATTCATCAGACACTTGGACGTGCAATGATAACGTGCTTACATGGCGATTACTTTTCTCCCCCTCTCTCCTACCACCCCCCCCCCCTCTTAGTGCCCGCTTCCCACGCCACGCGAGCCCCAGCCCAGTGGTCCTACGTGCGGCCGAGGAGGAGGCGCGAAAGGCCACGGCAACGGTGCCGCAGGTGGACCTCACACAGGTCATGAGCAAACTGGACAAGCGAAACCAGCCTCCCAAGTGACACACGGGCAGCACACACACGGACAGCACACACGGGCAGCACACACACACACGGACAGCACACACGGGCAGCACACACACACACGGACAGCACACACACACACGCAGCACACACACACACGCAGCACACACACACACGCAGCACACACACACACGCAGCACACACACACGAGCAACGAATACACGTGCAGCGCACACGCCACTACTGAACCCTGCACACAAATGTTGCACACAAATGCCTCGCACACAAAAACAATCGCTATTCTCGACGAAGTGGCAGTGACGTTACTTCCTCATTTATCAGGCTAGGTGCACTTTGAGGCCATGTGAAGTGTGGTATGAATTAACGGAATCAGTTGATTGGCAGATGCACCAGTCGTGCTCTCTCCTGAGCCACCTCGTTGTATTTTATCCGCCCGGTGCTCCGCTCGTTGTTGTGAGCGTCGCTCCTCCGCCCTCCGCTGTTGCTGGAGAGCGACTGTTTCCAACTGCCCTTCACGAGCCTCCACCACCGCTGGTACCAGTTCTCGGCAAGTCCACTCAGCTCCATATCCTCCTGAACCACATCACTCCATGTCCTCTCTTGCCCGTGCCACACCCATTTATGCCCCTCTATCTGGCCAGTCAAAAGCTGCTCGGGCACGTGGTGGCTGGGCATGTGAGCTACACAGTGAAATATCATGGTTATCATGAGCCCTCCTGCAAAGAATGAAATGGATCGTAGGCACGACAGCCTGGATGTTATAATCCGGCACAGGTGTTCCTGAAAAGGGTCCACGTTTTGCAAGCATAAACACATGGATGGGGCATAATTGTCGCCGAGAAGACCCAACATTTAATGTGGAGCCTACAGGCCAGGTAGTTTCCGCACAGCGTTACGCAGCCAATAAAAAAAAGATTACGCTGCTCGACTGAGTTGGAGTGAGACCTCCGCTATCAAGTTGGAGCTCTCACGAGCATTCTGGCCAGGCAATCAAACCCCTCAATCCTTCTCTACCATTACCCTAGTACTGGTGGAGAATTTACGGGGGTGGGTGTTTCGTGACGTAGAATACCGAGACGAGTGTTCTGTGTTGTAAGGACTGATGGAAAGGCCCCATCTCGTGGTGGCACGCTCCAACTACAGTAGCAGAACTCCTGGAAGTGAGCAGCGGTAACCTGATCAATCAGCATTGCAGATTTGGTTGACCAATAAGGAGCCATCCCTTTACCGCACAAAGGCATCGCTCAAGCTGCCGCTGTATCTGCAGAAATTCCACTGGCACAGCCATGGAAAACTCCTCGAACTACGTGGTCAAACAAAGGTCCTGGATTCTGCAACATCCCCTTGCCAAGCAGCGTGCTGACAAGCTCGTAGACCCCAAGTGTGGTCTCAGGCCAGGGCGGTCCTGCAGACAGGAGAGGAGCTTCAGTAGGACATACAAGCACACACACACATAATTACACACATACATAGAATTGCACACACACCTATACACACACGTACACAACGACACAGGTACACACACGACCACCGTTGGCATGTTTGGAAGGCGCAGGATGTCTCGAGGCAGCGGCACACCTTTATCGTGTGAACACGGAGCCATCCTGCTGTCTGCGCTTGCTATGATCCATCCGCTGTTGCTGTGCGTGGTTCACTATTATCATTCACGCTTGTTGTGTTGGCGCCGAGCTGGTCAACCACACCGCTCACTCAAAAGTGATCCCCCCCACCCCGCCCTGCTCGCTTGAGCATTGAGGATTTGGTGCTCACATCTCCTGCTTACAGTCCCGAGTCAGCCGTTGGACAATCCACATTCCTATGACGGGGGTGAGCCCATCGTAGGAACCACCGTTGACCTCCAACACAAAACAGTACTCGCTTTGTCGACCTTGGAAGGATGATGGGATGAGCCAACCGCCCCAACCAGGATTTGAACTGGCAGACCTTCCGAGGCGAGCCGCTCGCTCCACCGCTGCTGTAGGCGCTCGCTCGTGGCTATGCGCGGCGCTTCTCTCTTGTTCACGAGCGCCTCGATTCTCCGCAAGCGTCCTCCGCGCTCGTTTCCATCGCCCGCGGTTGTCTCCGCGATACCTCCGACGGACGTCGTTTCTCTGTTCTCCGCAAAATAACCGCGTCTCGTCATCACCGCCGCTCACCACACGGGGGCACTGCACGTCCAAGTGTCCCCCCGCTCTGCATGCCCCACTGCCTCCCTCTGCATGCCCCATGCCCCCCTCTGCATGCCCCACTGCCCTCCCTCTGCATGCCCCACTGCCCCCCTCTCCATGCCCCACTGCCCCCCCTCTGCATGCCCCACTGCCCCCCCTCTGCATGCCCAAGTGGACCCCAAATCGGCATGCCTCCCCCCCCGCCCCCCATGCCTTCTGCGAATTCCGCCACCGTCCGCTCTCCGCGTGGGGGTGCTGCCCCGCGCTGAGCCGCGTGTCTCCCCCCGCACAGGCCTCGAGCTCCCCGTGCCGCGCCGGGGTTTATACGGGCGGGGGGGCGCCCTCATCCCTGCTGCCCCTCTCCCGCGTGCCCCCCGGCGTTCGGCTCGCGCGGAGCCTCTCCTCCTCAACGAGCAGCGTGGCCCCCTCCTCCCCAGCTCCTCCGCGCGCTGCTCCCGGCTCCTCCGGCTCCTGATCCCCAGCTCTTGAGACCCTGATCCCACAAACCCATAGGCTCTGACCGTGAGTGCTGAGAGTCACCCTCTCGCGAGCCCCCCTCCTGCGCTTGTTTCTGCACCCCCCCCCCATCCTCCCCCACCCCCCCCCCCCCCCCCCATCGTGCACACCGCCCCCCCCCCTCCCCTCGTGAATAGGTGATTACGAATAGGAGACATGAATAGAGTGTGACTAGCGTGTGAGTAGCGTGAGTAGTGGGTTCTGAATAGGGGGATTGTAAATAGAGGGGTTAGTGGATAGAGGAATGCGATTATATTATAGGACTGTGAATCGAGATTCGTATAGGAGTGAATAGATGAGCGTAAATAGAGGGCTGTGAATGAGAGCAGGCGAGTGTGTGTAGAGAGAGAGAGAAGGCGCGAGACCAGGAGGCGTTTGAGTCGTGGCAATAAAAGGCTTGTGAATAGACGAACGTGTGGCGTCGGTCTTGTTTCGTGATGCTGTTGGGGGTGCGCATAAGAGATCTGGGCACCACAGTCCCCTCCCCCGGCAGGCGAGGAGGTTGCGTTGGCTGGGTCACGTAGCCCGCATGCCCAAGCAGCTTCTGTTTGGCCCGATAGAGGTCGGATAAACGTGCAACGGCACGGGCTTAGAGAAGATGCGGCTGCTGGAGAATGTGGAGCTGTGCGGACTCGCCGAAGAATGGCAACCGACCGGTGTCAAGATCGGCCTCTGTGGAGGAGAGGCTCGTGAAGGACGCTGCTGCTACCGGGCAGCTGGGAGCCAGTCGCCCTCCAGCAACAGCGAAGGGCGAGAGGAGCGGAGGGCCGGGCAGATAAAACGCAGCGATCTGGCACAGTGGGTGGGTGGGGTGGGGGTCACAGGCGGTCCATCTGCCAAGTCATCTCAGTGAACCCATGGCACCTGGGTCTGTGCCGTGATGCCTCGCCGGCAGCGTCGAGACTTTCACGCTCCACGTGGTGTGGATGGCCGCGTGACGTCACGACAGTCCGCGGTTTCAATCGAACAGATGACGCGCGAAGGGTGTCGCCGCCCCCCACCCCACACACACACCCGCGTTGCCACGTGCGTGACGTCGTTTCGCGAGCGAGAGAACATGACGTCACCGCGGGCGTCAATGACGTCAAGGGGCCTCCAGTGTCCTGGAGACGATGGCGCCGCCGCCGTTGTCGCCACCACCACCACCGCCGCCGTCGTCGCGCGAGGCGAGGAAGGCGGAGGCCGCGGCTCAGCGGAGGCGACGCGAGGAGCGCGCCGAGAACGAGAAGCGGGTGAGGGGCGGGAGCCTTGCGGTGGTTGTGCGGGGCGTGCGTGCCGGTCTTCACAGGTGCTGCTCGCTAACAGCACTTGCCCCAGCAGGCTGTTACAGGCTACACGGGGCGTGTGTGGTGTGTGTAGTGTGTGTAGTGTTAGTGGCGTGTATGGTGTGTGTAGTGTGTGGTGTGTGTAGTGTGTGTAGTGTTAGTGGTTTGTGTAGTGTGTGCAGTGTTAGTGGCGTGTGTGGTGTGTGCGGTGTTAGTGGTGTGTGTAGTGTGTGCATTGTGTGTAGTGTGTACAGTGTGTGTAGTGTGTGCAGTGTTAGTGGCGTGTGTGGTGTGTGTAGTGTTAGTGGCGTGTGTGGTGTGTGCAGTTTTAGTGTCGGGTTTGTGTAATCAGGGATGCCGAGTTGCTCTCCATTCACAGCGTGCGCGCGTCCACTGTTTTTCAACTTCACCTCAACACAAACCCCCCACCACCACCACCTCAACACAAACCCCCACCACCACCACCTCAACACAAACCCCCACCACCACCTCAACACAAACCCCCCACCACCACCACCTCAACACAAACCCCCCACCACCACCTCAACACAAACCCCCCCACTACCACCTCAACACAAACCCCCACCACCACCTCAACACAAACCCCCCACCACCACCACCTCAACACAAACCCCCCACCACCACCACCTCAACACAAACCCCCCACCACCACCACCTCAACACAAACCCCCCACCACCACCACCGTCTCCATTCCTCTCTCCTCGCCCCTCCCCCAACGCTCGCCCCCGGCACGGAAACCTCGGCGCGAGTGGACCGCGAGATGTCCGTAAGCGTGTCGGGTGCTGCGACGTTGTTACACGTGTGTGTGTTACACGTGTGTGTGTTACACGTGTGTGTGTTACACGTGTGTGTGTTACACGTGTGTGTGTGTTACACGTGTGTGTGTGTTACACGTGTGTGTGTGTGTGTGTTACACGTGTGTGTGTGTGTGTGTGTTACACGTGTGTGTGTGTGTGTGTTACACGTGTGTGTGTGTGTGTGTTACACGTGTGTGTGTGTGTTACACGTGTGTGTGTTACACGTGTGTGTGTGTGTGTGTTACACGTGTGTGTGTGTGTTGTGTGTGTGTGTGTTACACTTGTGTGTGTGTGTTACACGTGTGTGTGTGTTACACGTGTGTGTGTGTGTGTTACACGTGTGTGTGTGTGTGTTACACGTGTGTGTGTGTTACACGTGTGTGTGTGTGTGTGTTACACGTGTGTGTGTGTTACACGTGTGTGTGTGTGTGTTACACGTGTGTGTGTGTGTGTTACACGTGTGTGTGTGTGTGTGTGTGTTACACGTGTGTGTGTGTGTGTGTTACACGTGTGTGTGTGTGTGTGTGTTACACGTGTGTGTGTGTGTGTGTTACACGTGTGTGTGTGTGTGTGTGTGTTACACGTGTGTGTGTGTGTTACACGTGTGTGTGTGTGTGTGTTACACGAGTGTGTGTGTGTGTTACACGTGTGCGTGTGTGTGTGTTACGCGTGTGTGTGTGTGTTACACGTGTGTGTGTGTGTTACACGTGTGTGTTACACGTGTGTGTTACACGTGTGTGTGTGTGTTACACGTGTGTGTTACACGTGTGTGTGTGTGTTAGTGTTACACGTGTGTGTGTGTGTGTGTTAGTGTTACACGTGTGTGTGTGTGTGTGTTACACGTGTGTGTGTGTGTGTTACACGTGTGTGTGTGTGTTGTGTGTGTGTGTGTGTGTTACACGTGTGTGTGTGTGTGTGTGTGTTACACGTGTGTGTGTGTGTGTGTTACACGTGTGTGTGTGTGTGTGTGTTACACGTGTGTGTGTGTGTTACACGTGTGTGTGTTACACGTGTGTGTGTGTGTTACACGTGTGTGTGTGTGTTACACGTGTGTGTTACACGTGTGTGTGTGTGTGTGTGTTACACGTGTGTGTTACACGTGTGTGTGTGTGTGTTACACGTGTGTGTTACACGTGTGTGTTACACGTGTGTGTTACACGTGTGTGTTACACGTGTGTGTTACACGTGTGTGTGTTACACGTGTGTGTGTGTGTGTTACACGTGTGTGTGTGTGTGTTACACGTGTGTGTGTGTGTGTTACACGTGTGTGTGTGTGTGTTACACGTGTGTGTGTGTTACACGTGTGTGTGTGTGTGTGTTACACGTGTGTGTGTGTGTGTTACACGTGTATGTGTGTGTGTGTTACACGTGTATGTGTGTGTGTGTTACACGTGTATGTGTGTGTGTGTTACACGTGTATGTGTGTGTGTGTTACACGTGTGTGTGTGTGTGTGTGTGTTACACGTGTGTGTGTGTGTGTTACACGTGTGTGTGTGTGTGTTACACGTGTGTGTGTGTTACACGTGTGTGTGTGTTTTACACGTGTGTGTGTGTGTTACACGTGTGTGTGTGTGTGTTACACGTGTGTGTGTGTGTGTGTTACACGTGTGTGTGTGTGTTACACGTGTGTGTGTGTGTGTGTGTTACACGTGTGTGTGTGTGTGTTACACGTGTGTGTGTGTGTGTGTGTTACACGTGTGTGTGTGTGTGTGTTACACGTGTGTGTGTGTGTGTGTGTTACACGAGTGTGTGTGTGTGTGTGTTACGAGTGTGTGTGTGTGTGTTACACGTGTGTGTGTGTTACTTGTGTGTGTGTGTGTGTTACACTTGTGTGTGTGTGTTACACGTGTGTGTGTGTGTGTGTTACACGTGTGTGTGTGTTACACGTGTGTGTGTGTTACACGTGTGTGTTACACGTGTGTGTTACACGTGTGTGTGTGTGTGTTAGTGTTACACGTGTGTGTGTGTGTGTGTTAGTGTTACACGTGTGTGTGTGTGTGTGTTACACGTGTGTGTGTGTGTGTTACACGTGTGTGTGTGTTACACGTGTGTGTGTGTGTCACACGTGTGTGTGTGTGTTACACTTGTGTGTGTGTGTTACACTTGTGTGTGTGTGTTACACGTGTGTGTGTGTGTTACACGTGTGTGTGTGTGTGTTACACGTGTGTGTGTGTTACACGTGTGTGTGTGTGTGTGTTACACGTGTGTGTGTGTGTTACACGTGTGTGTGTGTGTTACACGTGTGTGTTACACGTGTGTGTGTGTGTGTTACACGTGTGTGTTACACGTGTGTGTGTGTGTGTTACACGTGTGTGTTACACGTGTGTGTTACACGTGTGTGTGTGTGTTACACGTGTGTGTGTGTGTTACACGTGTGTGTGTGTGTGTTACACGTGTGTGTGTTACACGTGTGTGTGTGTTACACGTGTGTGTGTGTGTTACACGTGTGTGTTACACGTGTGTGTGTGTGTTACACGTGTGTGTTACACGTGTGTGTGTGTGTGTTACACGTGTGTGTTACACGTGTGTGTGTGTGTGTTACACGTGTGTGTTACACGTGTGTGTGTGTGTGTTACACGTGTGTGTTACACGTGTGTGTGTGTGTGTGTTACACGTGTGTGTGTGTGTGTGTGTTACACGTGTGTGTGTGTGTGTGTTACACGTGTGTGTGTGTGTGTTACACGTGTGTGTGTGTGTGTTACACGTGTGTGTTACACGTGTGTGTGTGTGTTACACGTGTGTGTTACACGTGTGTGTGTGTGTTACACGCGTGTGTGTGTGTGTGTTACACGTGTGTTACACGTGTGTGTGTGTGTTACACGTGTGTGTGTGTTACACGTGTGTCTGTTACACGTGTGTGTGTGTTACACGTGTGTGTGTTACACGTGTGTGTGTGTGTTACACGTGTGTGTGTGTTACACGTGTGTGTGTTACACGTGTGTGTGTGTTACACGTGTGTGTGTGTTACACGTGTGTGTGTTACACGTGTGTGTGTGTGTGTTACACGTGTGTGTGTGTGTGTTACACGTGTGTGTGTTACACGTGTGTGTGTTACACGTGTGTGTGTTACACGTGTGTGTGTTACACGTGTGTGTGTGTGTTACACGTGTGTGTTGTGTGTGTTACACGTGTGTGTGTGTGTGTTACACGTGTGTGTGTGTGTTACACGTGTGTGTGTGTGTTACACGTGTGTGTGTGTGTTACACGTGTGTGTGTTACACGTGTGTGTGTTACACGTGTGTGTGTGTGTGTGTTACGCGTGTGTGTGTGTTACGCGTGTGTGTGTGTGTGTGTTACGCGTGTGTGTGTGTTACGCGTGTGTGTGTTACACGTGTGTGTGTGTTACACGTGTGTGTGTTACACGTGTGTGTGTTACACGTGTGTGTGTTACACTTGTGTGTGTGTTACACGTGTGTTTGTTACGCGTGTGTGTGTGTTACACGTGTGTGTGTGTTACACGTGTGTGTGTGTTACACTTGTGTGTGTGTTACACTTGTGTGTGTGTGTTACACTTGTGGGTGTGTGTTACACTTGTGTGTGTGTTACGCGCGTGTGTGTGTGTTACGAGCGTGTCTGTGTGTTACGAGCGTGTCTGTGTGTTACGAGCGTGTCTGTGTGTTACGCGTGTGTGTGTTACGCGCGCGTGTGTGTGTGTTACGCGCGCGTGTGTGTGTGTGTTACGCGCGCGTGTGTGTGTGTGTTACGCGCGCGTGTGTGTGTGTGTTACGCGCGTGTGTGTGTGTTACGCACGTGTGTGTGTGTTACGCGCGTGTGTGTGTTACGCGTGTGCGTGTGTGTTACGCGCGTGCCTGTGTGTTACGCGCGTGCCTGTGTGTTACGCGCGTGCCTGTGTGTTACGCGCGTGCCTGTGTGTGTTACGCGCGTGTCTGTGTGTTACGCGCGCGTGTGTGTGTGTGTGGAGTCTATGGTGTATGCCTAGGGGGGCGGTTACCAGGCTGCGCTATGAACCCAGCGGCCCGAGTTAAGATTCCCGCTGCGGTGTGTGTGGGTGTCGCCCATGCTGTGTGTGTGTAGTCCATGCTGTGTGTATGTAGTCCATGCTGTGTGTATGTAGTCCATGCTGTGTGTATGTAGTCTATGCATTGTGTATAGTGTGTACATGGTGTGTATGTAGACCATGCATTGTGAGTAGTGTGTACATGGTGTGTATGTAAACAATGCATTGTGTATAGCATGTACATGGTGTGTATGTATACCATGCAGTGTGTATGTATACCATGCATTGTGTATAGCGTGTACATGGTGTGTATGTAGACCATGTATTGTGTATAGCGTGTACATGGTGTGTGGAGTCCATGCTGTGTGTATTCCATGCTGTGTGTGGAGTCCATGCTGTGTGTGTATTCCATGCTGTGTGTGTGCGTGTGGTGTAGCTGCGGACCGTAGTGACGAGGTGCCCCTCGTCGTGGTCCCCTGCTGAGCACGCTGCTCTCTCCGCATGCCCCGAGCTCTGGCAGCGATTGAGGAGACGCGAGGAGCGCACCCGAGCCGTGCGGGGCCGCTCCGACGAGGTACGGGGTGGGGGGGGAGACACCTCACCGCGAGCACCGCGTCACCTCACCTCTTCGCTCACACCTCACAGATACACCCCTCCTCGCTCACGACGCACGGCATGTCCGTGCGCGCAGAGACACGAGTCTGCCGAGGAACTGCAGCGCAAGGTGTTTCTCCTGGCGGAGGCCGTGCGTGGGGCCCGCTGCCTCATCGCCTACACGGGAGCCGGCATCAGCACGGTGGGGGCCGCTCCCCCTCCCCTCCCCACCCTCTCCTCTCCCCTGGCTCTCCACCTTCCCAAAGATCCCCGTGCTCACTGTAACCATCCCCCATTTTCACAGCTCACTAACGCACACCTCACGAACACACTCGTCACTCTCACCTCGTCATTCGCCTCTCTGGGCCGTGTGCCTGTGGCGCAGGCCGCCGCCATCCCGGACTATCGGGGCCCGCGTGGGGTGTGGACGCTCCTGAAGAGGGGACAGAGCGTTGGGTAAGTCGGGGGGAGATGCGGGAGTGCTTGCTATGTGGAACGAGCTTCTGTGTGTGTGTGTGTGTGGCGTGGATGTACGTGTTGCGAAACGAGGACCCTTCTAAAGAAGAAACATCTGCACCCACTTGGGTCTGCTCCGTAGTGACTTCCTGCTAGCAGTGAGCCTTCCACACTTTCATTGGCCTCAAAGCGCACGAAGCGTGATGGTGGCATCGTCCGCCACTTAATGGCTAAAATGGCAATGGGCTATGTTGTGTGTGTGGAATTCTTTCCCCCTGCCCGTGTGTGTGTGTGTGTGCAGGATGGTGGAGCTGAGCGACGCTGAGCCCACGCTCACACACATGTGTCTCGCACAGCTGCATCGCGAGGGGCTGGTGAGCACCCCACTTAGGATTTAGCCCCCTTGCCACTCACATCCCCCAAACTTCCACACCACTCGCCACGCAAATCACACCCACACGCAGTCGCAACAGCGAAGGGTGGAGGAATGAGCGGAGCGCCGGGCAGATAAAACGCAGCCATGTGGGAGAGCGAGAAGCACCGGTGGTGCATCTGCCAGTCATCTGAGTTAATTCTGCTCTGTGACATGCTGAGACTAGCCTGGTGCAAGCACCTCTCAATTAGCGGTGCATGGCAGCCATTGTTATCTTTAAGGGTCCACGTGTGTGTGTATCTGTGTATGAGCGGTAGTGTAGCGGTTAGCGCGCTGCGCTACGAACCTGGCGACCCGTTCACGACCAACACCAGTGACGATTATCTGAACCGGTTCTGGGCCTCAACGTAGGTTCGACTCAGCCTCAAATGAGTACCTGGTGCAGTGTGTAAACATCGCCACTAGGGAGACAAAGGCAGCTGGCCGTGGTCTTGGCCACCCACCCCCTCAAGTGATGTGCCGGCCTTCAAAGAGTGCTCGCTAACAGCACTTGCCCCAACAGTCTGTTAAGGCTGTACGGGGATCTCTGTCCTTTGTATATGTGTATCTGTATCTTTCTTTGTGTCTGCATGTGTCTGTGTGTCTGTGTGTGTTGAAGGAATAGTAATGTAGTGGTTCAATTCCCACTCACGGCCAAAATCAGTGACGCAAATTTGTGTAAACATCAATTTGTGTAAACAACGTCATGAGAATTGTATTGTTATTTTATTTTATTAATTTATTATTTTATTCTCATTCTACGTGACTTTACCGAAAGAACCAAAGAAGATAAACATCACCACTCAAGAGACAAAGGTGGCCCGACATTTTGCTGGCCACCCACTCTTTCGTTTGCCATGCTGGCCTCCATAGGTGTTCACTGCAATCTGAATCAGAACATTTATTTCTACACATGTCCAGTATTTTGACAGATGTCAAGCAGCACACGGGGGTCGTGTGTGTGCGACAGGTGCAGCACGTGGTGTCGCAGAACTGTGACGGGCTGCATGTGCGAAGCGGCCTCGCCCCCAACGCACTCAGCGAGCTGCACGGCAACATGTACATGGAGGTTAGCACCAACTCACCACTCACCCCACTCCCTCACCTACTTACTCACCCACCTGCTAACCCACCTACTAACCCATTCACTCACCCACTGACTAACCACTCATCAACTTACTCTCCCACTCCTCCACTTAACCATGCACTTACTGACCCACTTACTCCAGTTGTAAGACATTGCCCGTGATGTGTGCTAAAGCCTCTGCTTCCCTTCTGTCTGTAGTTGTGAGATCACGCGTCTCTCTCTCTCTCTTCTCCGTGCGTGCGTCTCTCCCCCGTCTCTCCCTCTGCCCGCGTCTCTCTCGCCGTCGCCCGCCGCGGCTCCGCTTGCCCGCGCAGGCGTGCTCGATGTGCGGGCGCCAAGTCGTGCGGCTCTTCGACGTCACCGAGCGCACGGGGGTGCGGCGGCACGAGACGGGGCGCGCGTGCGAAGGGCCGGCCGGCTGCGGAGGGCCCCTGCGCGACACCATCGTGCACTTCGGGGAGCGCGGGACGCTGGAGCGCCCCCTCAACTGGGCGGGCGCGGCGGGGGCCGCGCGGAAGGCAGACGCCATCCTGTGCCTGGGCAGCAGCCTGAAGGTGAGACGCGTCCCGCTTGCGCTGTCCTGCACCCGCCACGACGCTCGCCACCCAACTCGCCACCCACTCACTCTCGCCGCTCGCCAACGATTCGCTAATCGCTCCATTGCCATCCGTCAGTCGCCCCCCCCCCCCCGCTACTTCACCACGCGCGTCCGCGTGGGTGCAGGTGCTGAGGAGGTACCCGTGCCTGTGGGGGATGGAGCGGCCCCCTGCTCAGCGACCCAAGCTCTACATCGTCAACCTGCAGGTGGGGCGCGCGGGGAATCTGCGTGTTGGGGGGGGGGGGGGGGCACGCGCTTGTTCGCGTGTCTCTGCTGCCGCCGCTCATAATTAACGCGCGTGCATCCACGTGCCTCCACGTGCATCCACGTGCGTCCCTGCGCGCATCCCAGTGGACGCCCAAGGACGCGGCGGCGGAGCTGAAGATCCACGCGGCCTGCGACGAAGTTCTGCGCCTCCTCATGCAGCAGCTGGGCCTGGGCATCCCGGCCTACAGCAGGTGAGCCACATGTCCGAGTGACCCAGACAGCCCGGGGATTGGTATCGCGTTCAGAATTTATTTGTGCAGAGATCTGCTACCGGCGTTGCATTCAACTTTATTGCAGTCGACTGCACAAATTTGATAGACCTGGTTTCAAAATTATTCGGGGTCTGTGGAAAAGTTGACTGCCCTCGGGTGTGGGGGTGTGAGGCTGTGTGGGTGTGTGGTGGTGCGGGAGTGTGGTGGTGTGGATGTGAAGTTCACTTGGCAACAGTTACCCCAAAGTTAGTCGAGGCTGCACTTGGGATCAGCAAATGTGCATGTGCTTTCTTTTTCAAACACATCGCATGGGCACGTGGATGTGCACGTTGGGGTGAGCCGTGCGCGTGCTGTGTGTGTCGCTGTCTGCCCCGTGTCGTTGCGTACGGCAGGGATACCGACCCCATCTTCCTCATGGCCACTCCGCTGAGCCCCGGGGAAGAGGGCAGCCACTCTCGCCGACCCATCGCCCCGGCCGCCACGTTGGCAGCGGTGGGGCCGGAGCCGCTCTGTGTCATCGCGCAGCGATCCGCGGGGGCCTTCGCGGCAGGAGAGGAGGCCGCTCGCCCGAAGGGCGAGAGGACGGGACTGGCGGCGGCCCCTGTGGAGGAGTGCGAGCTTCCGTACGGCACTGGGGAGGATGTGGCGAGGGCTGGAGGGGGAGGAAAGGTGGCAGTGGCGGGGAGCCTGGCGGCGCCGGGTTGGTTCGGAAAAGGCCTCGCGAAATCGCGGCGCGTGAAGCGGCGCAAGCGGTGAGCGGTTTCGGAGAGGGACGAAGCTCCGCCGAGCCACATTGAGTCGTCAGGACCCGTTCGCAGAAGGTTCATGTACTGGGCTGTTTGGCGATGCCTAAGTGGCACGTGGAGAGGAAACCAGATTTTCCGGAGCAAACTCGCACACATATACGAGGGAGGAGCGCTCACAGCTCCGTTCAGATAAGATCCAGGAATCCGGTGCTATACAGCTGTCTTCTAGCCCACCTCAAGACCAAACCTACAGGCCCTGATATTTCCTGGCACCTTCCCTTGAGAGTACTAACCGGGCTCAACCCTCGTTAGAGATTTGGGCAGATTTGGTCTGTGCTGGGCTGAGTTTATGGGACTGGTAGGAGCTTTGCAGTTCAAGCCCCTGGGCTGTCCTGGTTAATACTGTGATGGTGCATTAACCGTAAACTTTGCACCATCTTTTTGACAATGGACATGAGGGATTCGTGACATCGTTCGACAAACAGCAGGCCGTCGTGTGTCGGCATCACGCTCCAAATTTGCCAGATTAAAAAAAAGTAACAAATTGGGAAAACCGATAATAACATCGCCTCCTGATAATAGACTTAAAGTCCACTTGCAGGATAGTGCTGCGTTCGCCTAATACCGCACAGGGACGGCAGCCATCGGAGGGTCCCCCAGGCTACAACTATGGCCGAGCATCGGAATGGTCGAGATGAAGATGTGCGATACGAGGCGTTTTGAGTTGGCGAGGCATTCATGCGAGCGCTACTGCACTCGCCACAGTCCCTCCCATCGCCGTTACCGGACACCAATGCCAGTGCAGTAGCCGTGCAGCGAGGTATATGCAACAACTGCCTTTATTAGGAGTGTCACAGGAGCCACGGTCCCGGCCAATGCATCATGGCGCATATTGCTACAAGTCACGATCACTCTGCAGGTGCTTTAGTTGTGGGTGCGCAGTAATCAACAACGATTTCACAGTCTTCTAATCGGCTACATTTCATTTTGCGAGTAAACATTCGTGAGAGAAATTTATAGTTATATTTACGGACCGCGGGCCTGCCGCGCAACTGAGTCTAGTACGGGGTCTCGCTGGGGACCGGGGTCCCGGGTAGCGGTGTGTCCCCTTCCCCGTGCTGGACCCCCGCCCGCCCCACGACGTCCCTCGCGGGCCCCGTCCCCAAGCGGGCCCCCTGCGGCGGACCCCCCTCGTCGCCGTGGCGCTGGTACGCCAGGTTAATCACACCGCCCAGGCAGGAGGTGCGACCGCGTGCCACGCGGTGCCGCCCGGCCTCGCCGCCCTTGGAAGTGGCCTTCACCTGCTTGGCCAGGAAGGCCCGGTCACGGCCCACCTACACGGGGTACGGTTTGGGGAGGGCATGGGAGACGCACGGGGGTCACGCAGGGACCATGGACAGGGACCAGACACGGGGAACAGAGGCAAGCGTGTGAGTGGGTTGGGTGAGTGCATGTGAGTGAGTGCGTGTGTAAGCCTCCGAGTGAGTGTGCGGGTGAGCAGCCAGGCAGGGAGTTGGTGTGGAGGCTCACCATGGCCAGCTCGTCTCTTAGTTGATTGATGACGCGCGCGTGCGCATTGTTAAGCGTGGTCATGTAGAACAGGAAGAGGCTGTCAAGTCATCACACACACACACAAGCATGCGATATCAACACAAGCAAAGACAGGCCCCCTATAGCCTTGAACAGGCAGTCCGGGTGAGTGCCGTTAGGGAGCATCTATTTAAGACTGACACGGCACAAGGGGTGGGTGGCCCGAACCATGCCTCGTCGCCTTTGTCTCCCAAGTGGTGATGTTTACAGGCTAAGTCGACCTAATGGAGGCCTAGAACTTGGTCATATATATGTGTCACTGATGTTTGTCGTTATCGGAAATAAAATTTGGGTTGCACATAATGGCCTACTCTTTGCCGAGTCCATAGCGCAGTGCGCTAACCACTGCAACTCTCCACACCTGCACTACATCCACACACGTCACATCAACACAACCACAACCGCCGCTCACCACTGAGGGTGTGACATGATCTCTGCCTCCGGCACAAGGTAAATATTGTCGTTTCAGCGTGGTTGTTTGCCAAGGTTCCATACTCTTTGGTTCTCTTCGGTAAAGTCATGTTGTTTTTTACGTGACTTTACCGAATAGAACCAAAGAGTATGGATCCTTGCAGTCACGAAAGCTTTAAATCTAGAATTGTTTGCCAAGGTGATTTTCAAGGTGGAGGGAGGGGTTAAAACAAATACACCGTACAACGGATTGTAACACGTACCTCCCCCCCCCATCGCTCACCTGGAGAGCACGACCAGGATGATTGCGAAGAGCAGCGAGGCAAAGAACTCGAGGATGGAGTCGAGCCAGTGTGGCAGGGCCTGCACTGCTGTCACCAACACCGCCCAGGGCAGCCGCTGGCCTGTGAACGGTCCGCACGCCTGCGACGGGCGGATGCTGCACTCACAGGGGCACCCGGGACACCACGGCAGCTACTCGCCAACACCACTCGCCTCGCTGTTCCTTTTACCACCACCGCCGCCACTCGCCGTGACCCACCACGACTGCCGCTCGCTATTACTGCTACTCGCCCCTGGGGCAGCCTGTTTGTCTGCGCGGCACTTTGCTGTGTGCACGTGGCGCAGCGTGGCGAGGTGGAGGCAGTTAAGCAATGGATTCTTAAATCCATCTGTGGAGTGTTGTGAGTGTCGTAATGCGCGGTGCTGGGTTATCTCCCGAGTTCCTTCCACACGAAGCCAAACGCTCGTGCCTGGAATTGTAATTGCCCCCACACAATGGCGGCAGCAGCACACACCCTGGGGTTTGTGATGTTGGTGTTGTGGGACAGGTGTTGTGGGACAGGTGTTGTGGCGTGGGTGTTGTTGTGGCGTGGGTGTTGTGGCGTGGCTGTTGTTGTGGCACACACCCGCCGATGGTGTAGATGGCCGGCACCCAGGAGAGCAGGAGCCCGAGCAGCAGCACGATGAAGAAGAAGAACATGGAGCTGGAGGCGCGGTACGGGCGCGTTGCTGGCCGGCAGTTCAGCATCAGCGACAGCTGTGAGACACAGCCAGCAGCAGAAGCGGTGGTGCACGCGGCGGTCACGGGCGACGCGTGGCGGCGATGCGCGCACAGAATACGCGAGGGCGCTAACAGACGTGCGAATGTTATTCCTATTTCTTTTTTTTCCCCATGGTAATGTGGACTTTCCACCATTGGCTCAGGGCTGTGAACAGGAGATGAGCACCGCCTCATTGCCGTTTTGCTCGTCCACCCAGGAAGACGGTTTCAGGAGGGTCCTGCTACTTTTTCGCAGAAGGGGGTGAATGTTGCGTCTGTGATCCCAGTTGAGTAATTTGCACGTCACTTTTCAGCATTCGTATGTTTGGCCAATAACGGTTCAATTGAGTTTTTATATTTGGGAGGAACCTGGTGAATCCATTTGGTACTGGGGGAAAACACTCCACATGGAAGGCACTCAAGTCAGGAATCGAACCCAAGAACTACTTTCTGCAAGGCACCAGTAGAGTTGCCACTGCGCCACCTGCCACCCGGTCCGACTTAACGGATGTGCAAGCGCGTGAGAGAGTCAAGACGCGCACGTGTCGTGGTCGTAGTGTGGTGGTGGTGGCGGCGGTAGTGACAGTGCGGTTGTGGCGGGGATGGCGTGGCCTGCCTTCTTGCTGTAGAAGAAGATGGTGTACTTGATGGCTGCGAGCAAGGGCAGCAGCGGGCAGTAGATGGTGCCCACCCAGCACACGGTCTGGCCGTACACGATGTGCAGCACCTGGTCGGGGATGGAGAACTCCTGCTCGCCCATCCAGCGCGCCAGCCCGCACCCGCAGTGCGTCACGATCATCCTGGGAGACACGTGGACGTCACGCTCGCCACCATGCCGTGCGAGGGCTGGGTGTGCAGTGGGCGAGTGAGTGGGCGAGGAGCGTGGCGAGGGGCGGTGCCGTTGGCCGCGCGAGTTCGCTTACTTGCGCGGGAACTCCACGAGTAGGACGCTGACGAGGGAGGTGATCAGGTCGAAGATGGTGAGTTTGTACATCTCCTGTCCCACGCGCGTTTCCCAGCACTAAACGGGTGGGGGAGGGGGGGGGTTAGCGGTGGTTGAGCGTGAAGTGTGAGGGTTGGTGATCTGTGAGGGTAGTGGGCGAGTGGTGGCTCTGAAGGTGAGGGTGAGTGAGTGCGGCATGGGGGTGAAGGCGAGTGATTGTTGGTGAATGAGAGTGAGCGTTCTGGACCTTACCGGGTAGTTTATGTTGTACCCACACTGCTGGCAGTCACTGATGCTGCTGTTGCTGGTGATGCTGATGCTGTTGTTGTTGTTGCACGTGATCCGAGACCAGAGCGTCACGAGCAGCACGGCCACGCTTGCCAGACGCAGACTCACGTACCTGCGGCATGGCACGGCACGGCCCACGTCGGGGTTAGCGCAGGTGTGTGTCCGTGTGTTTGCCTTTGTGTCCGTGTGCGTGTCCGTGCCACCACTGACCGGAGCAGTGAGAGCCGAATCTCGAAACCGGGGGAGTAGTCCTCCCAAACGATAGTCATCCCAAAGATGAGCGGCAGCAGGAAGTTGGCGAGCGTGATGACGATGGACGGGAGGTACTGCACCAAGAAGTCCACACCACCCTGGACGCTCCCGGCGTTCAGATCCTGGGAAGACGCGTCGCACAGCAAATTCGTCCGTTTCACAAGTCTCGCCTTTCAGAGAGTAGCCACAGCAGGACATATTTACTCAACTCCTCCTTCTGAACAGCACCTGCCACACAACAGCCTGTGCAGGCTGTCGGGGGATCGTCGTCTTTGTTGACGTGTGCGCACGGGGGGGGGGGGGGGGGGGGGGTGGGGTAGGGGTGGCGTACTCCCGCTTTGTAGCCCTGCGAGTAGGTGGTCGCCCAGTAGATGCAGTAGAAGCCTGCCCCGAGCAGTGCCAGCACCAGCACGTTGAGCAGCACGCGCACCACGTACACGCGCGCCTTCTGTGCGCGCGTGCGCTCGGCGATCCTCTTGCGGGAACGCTCCTCGCCCAGGTCCGTCTGCACTCGCGCACGCAAAGACAAAGATCCCCCCCCCCCCGTGTAGCCTTTGGTGGACTGTTCGGGCGGGTGCTGTTTAGCGAGCACCTCACCAAGGCCGGCACGGCACACGAGGGGGTGGGTGGCCGGCCGGCACCACGCACCGGCCGCCCTTGTTTTCCAAGGTGCTGATGTTTACAAATCGTGCCAGGTACTCATTTTGAGGGCCCAGGACCAGTTCAGAGAATCGTCACCGGTATTGGAGCCGGAATCGAACTCAGGTCGCCGGGTTCGTAGAGCAGTGCCGCCGACCGCTCTGCACGCGCACACGGGAGAACGTGCGTACGCATGCAGGAAAGATACAAACGCACACGCGCGTGCGTACACACGTAAACACGGCTCCTGGAACACGCCTCTCACTGCCGTGTGTGTGTGTGAGCCCCCCCCCCCCCCAATGCGCACCAGCAGCTGGTAGGCCAGGCTGCTGTGCTTGAGCATAGCCGAGTTGGCGTCTCGCAGGCTGTGGTCCCACCCGGAGAAGACCTGCGGTGAGTAGTGCAGCCCGCTCGCCTCGCTCTGCAATGCGCCAAGCTTCCAGCCCTGCGCGGAGCTGGGCAGGGAGACGCAGAGAACCGCGTTATTTACGACGTCTCACCTGGAGCACCTCGCTTACGCGGGCGTAGTGTCACGTGACACAAATAACAGACGCAAAGATCCCCTGCGTAGCCTTAGTAGGTTGTTAGGCGAGCGCCTATGAAGGGATGGCACACGAGGGAGTGGGTGGCCAGCGCCATGCCCAGCCGCCTTTGTCCCCCCAGTGGCGATGTTTACACACCGCACCAGGTACTGTACTCATTTAAGGCCGAGTCGACCAAGAGGAGGCCCAGTACCAGTTCAGATATTCGCCACTCTTCGCAGGATTTGAGCCCGGGCCGCCGGGGTCGCAGCGCAGTGCGCTAACCACTGCACCACCACTCCCCACTACGTGCACATATACCTATCCAATACCCGCCATTCGCCACTAAGTGACGGTGACCTCACAGACCCAGGTGCCATGGCTTGGCTGATTGAGATGACCGTTAGATGCACCAGCTGTACCCCCCCTACGGTCCCAACTGCACACACAGACACTCGCATACACGTGACACGTGTCCACACACGTGCGCATTGAGTGCCGCACGAGGACAACGTATGCTGCGTAAGCGTGCGTTCGCGCACGAGGACGATCCGCGCGGCTTCCACGTGCGCAGGGGCCGCGGGGTTGGGTACCCACCGCCTGACGACCCAGAGCAGCGACACGAACAGCACGGCGATGCTGGAGAGGAGGTAGGCGAGGGGCAGCGAGTAGGCCCATTTCAGCGACCCCACCGTCGTGCTCGGGTAGAACCCGTAGAAGAGGTACGTCTTCTCCAGGAAACCCTGGAACGCGGCGCACACGCACAGAGACAAAGATCCCCCCCCCCGTGTGGCCTTAACACACCGATTTGACAGGCGCTGTTAGCGAGTAGCGCCAATGAAGGCCGGCACGAGACACGAGGGCACGGGTGGCCAGCGTGATGCCCCGCCGCGTTTGCCTCTACAGTGTTGATGTTTATACACCACACCAGCTACTCATTTGTCACCGATGTTTGCCGTGAGCGGGAATCGAACTCGGGTCACCGGGTTCGTAGCACAGCATGCTACCCGCGCTACACTACCGCTCCCCATTGTAGGTGAACTTGGCCTAAAATTAGTAGCGGGTGCGGTGTGTAAACACTACCAGGGAGACCATGGTGGCCGGGCGTGTTGCTGGCCACCCCACCCCCTCGTGTTCCGTGCCAGCCTTCATAAGTGCTTCTCGCTAACAGCAGTTGCCCCAGCATTCTGTTAAGGCTACACAGGGGATCTTTGTTGACATGTACATACACGCACGTACTTACAAACGTGGAAACGTGCGATGGGTGCTGAGGGGTGGAGATGGTGCGTGGTTGCGTGGTATCGAGACTTGTGGGGCGAGTGATTGCACTGGTGTGGCGAGTAGCTGGCGAGTATTTGTGTCGTGACATAGCGCTGACTGTTGGACAGCAGCTGCAACTGCAGGTGGGCACTTAGGGCACACGCCGTTGAGCACGTACACGGTGTGTGTGCCGGCAGGGCGGAGGAACTGGGGCAAGGGTCACGGTAGACCTCGTGGAGAAGCCCCTGAAACCCTCTCGTGGGTTCGAGAAGGGAGGCGTGGCTAGGGCGGAGCCAGGCCGCGCTGAGGGGAATAAAAGCAGCGGAGCGCGAGAGCTCCGGGCTGCCGGTTCTGGGATTAGACTCGTCTCGTCGTCGCTGTCGTCATAGCCGCCTTCATCACCGCCGCCGCCTTCGCCCGGGCATTGCGCGGCCGGACAATGGTTGGCTGTCCCGGTGGACGCCGTCGGTGCAACGCGGGCAGGGTCGTGTCTGGGACGGGCCGTGCGGCAGCGTGGTCGTGAGAGAGAGGGAGGGGCCCGAGTGGTGGCGTGAACTCAACAACAATAAAAGGGGAGGACGGTGCCTCCTGCGACCACCTCGTCTCCGATAGAGTGCGTGTGTGCGACGCACGCCACCCGCACACACACACAAGCCTCGAGCGAGAAGGAAGAAATAGATCTACGACACTACATTTGTACTTATGTGGTGAGTGGCCAGTAAGTGATGGTACCGTGAGTGATCATGAGCGTTGTATGCGGGGATGCACTCACCGTGCCTGATAGTGCATCAAGCACATATTCGTAGAAGTAGCCGAGAGGGCGCAGCGGGAGATTGTCCACCAAGCATTCTGAGAGGCAGAGACACGGGCAGCGGCGTGAGGTACGGAGACAGCCTATCCCCTGTGTGCTGTGTGAGAGTGGTGTGTACACTGTGAGTGTCGTGTGCACTGTGTGTGCTGTGTGAGTGCTGTGTGCGCTGTGTTGTATGCTGTGAGTGGTGTCTGCTGTGTGAGTGTTGTGTGCTGTGTGATTGGTGTGTGCTGTGTGAGTGGTGTGTGCTGTGTGAGTGGTGTGTGCTGTGTGAGTGGTGTGTGCTGTGTGAGTGTTGTGTGCTGTGTGAGTGGTGTGTGCCGTGCGTCGCTCACTACTGTTGCTTGTTGAGCTGGTGGCCGTGGGGGCAGGCGTGGTGGCCACGGGGGCAGGCGTGATGGCCACGGGGGCAGGCGTGGTGGCCACCCCGAGGTGTTCGTTCACGATGGTGGGGATGACCACGAAGGAGAACATGATGAGGAAGAGGCAGACGTTGAGCAGCACGAGGAAGCGCATGAACGAGAAGTAGGACTGGATGGCCGATCCGAAGCGACCTGCGTCCCCGCACGGGATCCACAAAGGCGCCAGCGTCATGGCGAGGGCAGGTGAAACACGAGGCAGAGACGCCGCTGTTGTGCTGCGTGCGGCAATGGGGGGCGGCGCCCTCCACCCTGGGTACTTCCACGCGGTGCCCTGGCACTTAAAAATGCACGGCTAGATCTCGGTTTCGTCGGCGGGTGACGATGTTGTGAGACTAAAAATACTCGACCTTCCCCTGGGATTGTGGCCCGATCGGGCGAGCCCCATTGCTCTGCGGTTTTGTTGCCGCCTGAACGATGCCCGTCCCTCTCGGGAACGCGACTCGTGACGGTTCTGTAGAAGCGAGCGCTCGTTGAGCGGACGATCGTGCCGGGAGGTCGAGGCAGACGAGCGCGCCGATCTTGACCGCCGCTGAACCGAGCTTCATTCCTCCTCGCCGATCCAAATGCAGCCTCTCGACCATCAGACGCTTTGGCCGAGGACAAAGCACCGGCTGGCCTAACGCGATCGTCACGTGGCGCGCGTGGTACGGTGCGCGTGTGTGGCGTGGTGCATGTGTGTGGTGCCCGCTGTGCCAGGCTAGGTGCCCCACGCCACGGGGCGTGCGATCGTGGCCCACCTGCGATCTCCTTGAGGCTGCCGCTCCACAGGGCCGTGCTCTTGAGGGCCCCGTGGGCCCCGGCTCGCGACCTGCGCATTCGGGTGCTCATGCTCCTGCGCCACGACTCCCAGTGAGAGAGCAGCGGCGCATCCCGCGCCATAAGCGCCCTGCAGCACCAAAAAGATTCCCCGTAGAGCCTTAACAGACTGTTGGGGCAAGTGCTGCTAAGCAAGCACCTGCAGCACCACACACCCACACACATGGCGCGTGGTGTACCTGACCTGACACGAAGACAACCCGAGGACAGGGGCCACACGCCGGACACCAATAACCCTTGGGGTTATTACGATGGGCGACCCTGCCACAAACAGCCCGGGATCTGCTGGCGATACTCCGTGCCGCAGCCAATCTCAGCAATACCCCAACCCTACCACCAGCTCCTATCCCCAACCCTAACCGTAACCCCGACACCCTATCCAAATGTAGTGCCATCAGGGATGTCACTGTATAGTGCTGGCCCGGGAGGGTCGTCAGTGGCGATGTTCCTATGTCGCGGACAGCACTGGGTGGGTTGCTGTGTGATGCCGGCTTTACTATAGCACGGCGTGCGATGCACCGTCATCGCGTACACCCCGTAGATGGGTGTAGTACCAGCTGGGATAGCGCGGGCACCGCGCATAGCGTGTGGTGGGGGCTCCCACAAGGGGGAGCGGGAGCGTGTCAGCCCAGGGACAGGGTTGCCCCAGGCCATGGCACTCTGGGTGACCCTGTAGACACGTGATCCGGAGTGTCCACAGAGATGGCCCCAGGTGGGGGGGGGGGGGGCTAGGGGGTGATCACGTGTCCGGGAGAGCTCTTGAGGGGGATCGAGAGGGAGCTCGAACGCTCGAGAAGGCGGGCGGGGCCTGTGCGGAGCCAGCCCCGACCCAGGGGGATATAAGGTGGGTCCCTGAGAGGGACTGAGGTCGCTTCGTTCAACAATCTGGAAGCTCCACGTCCTACACGCTGGAAGCTCCACGTCCTAGAAGCTGGAAGCTCCACGTCCTACAAGCTGGAAGCTCCACGTTCTACACGCTGGAAGCTCCACGTCCTACAAGCTGGAAGCTCCACGTTCTACAAGCTGGAAGCTCCACGTTCTACAAGCTGGAAGCTCCACGTCCTACACGCTGGAAGCTCCACGTCCTACAAGCTGGAAGCTCCACGTCCTACACGCTGGAAGCTCCACGTCCTACAAGCTGGAAGCTCCACGTCCTACAAGCTGGAAGCTCCACGTTCTACACGCTGGAAGCTCCACGTCCTACAAGCTGGAAGCTCCACGTTCTACACGCTGGAAGCTCCACGTCCTACACGCTGGAAGCTCCACGTCCTACACGCTGGAAGCTCCACGTCCTACAAGCTGGAAGCTCCACGTCCTAAAAGCTGGAAGCTCCACGTCCTACAAGCTGGAAGCTCCACGTCCTACAAGCTGGAAGCTCCACGTCCTAGACGCTGGAAGCTCCACGTCCTACAAGCTGGAAGCTCCACGTCCTACAAGCTGGAAGCTCCACGTCCTACACGCTGGAAGCTCCACGTCCTACACGCTGGAAGCTCCACGTCCTACAAGCTGGAAGCTCCACGTCCTACACGCTGGAAGCTCCACGTCCTACAAGCTGGAAGCTCCACGTCCTACACGCTGGAAGCTCCACGTTCTACACGCTGGAAGCTCCACCCAGCCCCTCCCCACCCTCCCCACCCAGTCCCTCCTCACCCTCCCCTCTCCACCCCTCCCATTGTCAGATTTATTTATCCTCTTTGGTTCTTTCGGTAAAGTCACGTAGAATGAGAATAAAATAATAAATTGATAAAATAAAATAACACAATAATATTCTCACGACGTTTCGGCCACAACACAAGCAGCCTTCATCAGGTGAAGGGACGAGACTTTCACTCCAGCGCTGTCCTCCAGACAGTCTCGTCCCTTCACCTGATGAAGGCCACTTGTGTTGTGGCCGAAACGTCGTGAGAATATTATTGTGTTATTTTATTTTATCAATTTATTATTTTATTCTCATTCTACGTGACTTTACCGAAAGAACCAAAGAAGATGAATCCTTGCAGTCACGAAAGCTTTAAATCGAGATTAATTTATTTTCAATGTATTTCTTTTGGTATAGCCCTGTGAGCCATTCGGCTCTTGAATCGGGTGCAACCGCAACAAACAAAAAAAAACAAAAACACGAACGAGAAAACATCTTAATGCACGACGGACGGACGGACACAATAATCCCCTGTGGGCTGGTGTAACCAGGAGGTTCCTACCAGTATAAATGTGTTGCCTCGAAAGAATAACGTCTGCGACTCAGTTGGACCCACTTCACAAAAACCCAGCTCAGTCCATAACCCTGTTCTTACCCCCCCCCCCTGCTCATGTCCCCCACCACGCGAGAGGGGAACCTCGCCCTGTGGAGGTGGGGCCAGAGCGAAGCGAGGGGTCAGGAGGATGGGGGGGGCGTTGTGCAAAGCGGGGGAGTCGAACGAAATTTGTTTACGGGCCCGACGCGGAGTCTCCGAACAAACACGGAAACAGAGAGACACCTGTCCCGTGAGAGACACGGGGAAACAGAGAGACACCTGTCCCGTGAGAGACACGGGGACACAAAGAGACACCTGTCCCGTGAGAGACACGGGGACACAGAGAGACACGGGGACACAGAGAGACACGTGGACACAGAGAGACACGGGAACACAGAGAGACGCCTGTCCCGTGAGAGACACGGGGACACAGAGAGACACCTGTCCCGTGAGAGACACGGGGACATAGAGAGACACCTGTCCCGTGAGAGACACGGGGACACAGAGAGACACGGGGACACAGAGAGACACCTGTCCCGTGAGAGACACGGGGACACAGAGAGACACGGGGACACAGAGAGACACGGGGACACAGAGAGACACCTGTCCCGTGAGAGACACGGGGACACAGAGAGACACCTGTCCCGTGAGAGACACGGGGACACAGAGAGACACGGGGACACAGAGAGACACCTGTCCCGTGAGAGACACGGGGACACAGAGAGACACCTGTCCCGTGAGAGACACGGGGACACAGAGAGACACCTGTCCCGTGAGAGACACGGGGACATAGAGAGACACCTGTCCCGTGAGAGACACGGGGACACAGAGAGACACGGGGACACAGAGAGACACCTGTCCCGTGAGAGACACGGGGACACAGAGAGACACGGGGACACAGAGAGACACCTGTCCCGTGAGAGACACGGGGACACAGAGAGACACCTGTCCCGTGAGAGACACGGGGACACAGAGAGACACGGGGACACAGAGAGACACGGGGACACAGAGAGACGCCTGTCCCTTGAGAGACACGGGGACACAGAGAGACACCTGTCCCGTGAGAGACACGGGGACACAGAGAGACACCTGTCCCGTGAGAGACACGGGGACACAGAGAGACACGGGGACACAGAGAGACACGGGGACACAGAGAGACACCTGTCCCGTGAGAGACACGGGGACACAGAGACACCTGTCCCGTGAGAGACACGGGGACACAGAGAGACACGGTGACACAGAGAGACACCTGTCCCGTGAGAGACACGGGGACACAGAGAGACACTTGTCCCGTGAGAGACACGGGGACACAGAGAGACACCGGTCCCGTGAGAGACACGGGGACACAGAGAGACACCTGTCCCGTGAGACACACGGGGACACAGAGAGACACCTGTCCCGTGAGAGACACGGGACACAGAGAGACACGGGGACACAGAGAGACACGGGGACACAGAGAGACACGGGGACACAGAGAGACGCCTGTCCCGTGAGAGACACGGGGACACAGAGAGACACCTGTCCCGTGAGAGACACGGGACACAGAGAAACACGGTGACACAGAGAGACGCCTGTCCCGTGAGAGACACGGGGACACAGAGAGACACCTCTCTCGTGAGAGAGACGGGGACACAGAGAGGCACCTGTCCCGTGAGAGACACGGGGACACAGAGAGACACGGGGACACAGAGAGACGCCGGTCCAGTGAGAGACACGGGGACACAGAGAGACACCTGTCCCGTGAGAGACACGGGGGCACAGAGAGACACCTGTCCCGTGAGAGACACGGGGACACAGAGAGACACCTCTCTCGTGAGAGAGACGGGGACACAGAGAGGCACCTGTCCCGTGAGAGACACGGGGACACAGAGAGACACGGGGACACAGAGAGACGCCGGTCCCGTGAGAGACACGGGGACACAGAGAGACACCTGTCCCGTGAGAGACACGGGGACACAGAGAGACACGGGGACACAGAGAGACACGGGGACACAGAGAGACACCTCTCTCGTGAGAGAGACGGGGACACAGAGAGGCACCTGTCCCGTGAGAGACACGGGGACACAGAGAGACACGGGGACACAGAGAGACGCCGGTCCCGTGAGAGACACGGGGACACAGAGAGACACCTGTCCCGTGAGAGACACGGGGACACAGAGAGACACGGGGACACAGAGAGACACGGGGACACAGAGAGACACGGGGACACAGAGAGACACGGGGACACAGAGAGACGCCTGTCCCGTGAGAGACACGGGGACACAGAGAGACACCTGTCCCATGAGAGACATGGGGACACAGAGAGACACGGGGACACAGAGAGACACCTGTCCCGTGAGAGACACGGGGACACAGAGAGACACCTGTCTCGTGAGAGACACGGGGACACAGAGAGACACGGGGACACAGAGAGACACGGGGACACAGAGAGACACCTGTCCCGTGAGAGACACGGGGGCACAGAGAGACACCTGTCCGTGAGAGACACGGGGACACAGAGAGACACCGGTCCCGTGAGAGACACGGGGACACAGAGAGACACGGAGACAGAGAGACACGGGGACACAGAGAGACACCTGTCCCATGAGAGACACGGGGACACAGAGAGACACCTGTCCAAAGACTGCCTCCGTGTTCCATTAGTCGGGGGATGGGATGAATGAGAATCAGAGAGGGCTCGTAGGGGTATCAAGATTCGGGAGGAATCGTAGAGGGATCAGAGAGGGATCAGAGAGGGGTCAAAGGGGTGGGGGGGGTCATAGTAGGATCCGGGAAGGGCCATTGGGGGGGTCAGAGAGAGGGGGGTCAGAGAGGGGGGGGGGGGGTCTACCCTTACATGATGCGCTTCTTCTCCTCCAGCCTCAGCGTCTGCTCCCTGAGGGGGGTCGCGTCCTCCTCACTCGCCTCCATCCCCAGGGCGCTGGCAAGGCCATCGGGGGCATCAGCGTAGCTCATGGCCACGCAGCAACAACAGCAGCAGCAGCAGCGACTACGAGACGGAAGCGACTGGCCTCTTTGAGTGGGCGCGGGGTGCCCGGCGCAGGGACGGGGGGAGGGGTGCAGGTGAGGGAGGGAGGTGGGAGGGAGGGAGGGGAGGGGAGGGGCAGAGGGGCAGGGGAGAGGGAGGGGAGGGAGGGGGTGGTGCAGGTGAGGGAGGGGATAAGAGGAGGGAGTGGATGGAGGGTGAAGTGGTAGGGGAGGGGGTGGGGGTAGGGGAGGGGGAGAGGGTGGGGGAGGGGGTGGGGGTAGAAGAGGGGGTGGGGGAGGAGTGGAGGTAGGGGAGGGGGTGGAGGTAGGGGAGGGGTCCTCTCCGGCATTGTGCAAGTGGCGCTGCGTGACGCGCTGGGGGGCACTTGCGTGGCCGTGGTCATGACGACGGCCGCGGCGGCGGCGGCGGTGATGGTGGGAGCGGTGGTGCAGCGGTTAGCGCGCTGCACCACGCACCCGACGCGCCCGAGTTCGACTCTGGCATATGGCCAACACCAGTGATGATTATCTGAACCGGTCCTGGGCCTCCCCTAGGTCGACTCAGCCTCAAAATGAGCACCTGGTGCGGTGTGTGGTGAACATCGCCACCGGGGGAGACAAAGGCGGCCGGGCGTGGTGCTGGCCACCCACCCCGCTAGTGTGTCTCAGTGCCGGCCTTCACAGGTGCTGCTCGCTAACAGCGCTTGCCCCTACAGTCTCTGTTAAGGCTACACGGGGGATCTTTGTCTTTGATGGCTGGGAAAGGTGACAGTCCAAATGTCGGAAGTGGTTGTAGTTGATGGTCGTGACGTGAACGCGGGACCGCGGGTCCGTGTGTGGTGATGTCCCTCTGGGACCGTCCATAAATGACGTCACGAGATTTGCGACGATGTTTAACCCCCCCCCCCGCCTCTCGTCACACGACGTCACAAAAAGTGAGACCCCCCCCCTCGAATATGACGTCACAAAGCTCTGCCCCACCCCCCCCACAAAAAAACCCCATATTTCCATTTTGAAAACAAAACATGCTTCAAATCGCTTTAAACTATTGTCATTGATAGTGTGTATTTAATGTGGTGCTGCACTCTGATGTTGTTAGGAGGAAACATTTATTAAAAAGTATATTTAATTTAGTAGAACGTGTTGTCTATATTTATTTAAAGTTGCGCATTTTGATGTGACGTCACATTTCTCACCCCCCCCCCCTCGTCACACATCTTCACAAATATCTGACCGCCCCCCCTCCCTCTCCCTAGGTGCGTGACGTCATTTATGGACGGCCCCAAAGCAGTTCGGTGCTAACTCGCTAACAGCACTTGCCCCATCGGTCTGTGAAAGACTATAGGGAGTCTTTGTCTTTTGTTTTGTACTATCGGTAAGTACCCGGCGCTGCCCGGGTTCTTTGGGGCGATATTTTGTGAATGTCGAAGTGGCTGTCTCGTCGCTGTGATCAGGAGGAAGAGGAGGAGGATGAGGATGAGGCTCAGTGGGAGTTACAGAAACACCCGATGATGATTGCTTGTCTTGCAATCGAAACGTCCTGAGAATTGTATTATTTTAGTTGCATTATTTTATTGTTTCCCGTCGACGTGACTTTACCGAAAAGAACCAAGAATATGAATCCCTGCAGTCACGAAAGCTTTAAATCGAAAAGTTACGGAAATTGTTAAGATTTTGTCGTGACATGGGGCCTGCAACCAATGTGAAATGACTCGGAGCAACGAACTTACTGGGAGCCTACATTTTGACCGAAAACTTTCGTGACCGCAGCAATTCATATTCTTTGGTTGTTTCGGTAAAAAAGTCACGTAGATAGAAAAATAATAATAAAAAAATAAAGTGAATAAAAATAATACAAATTTAACTACTAATGTAGACTGTAGCCTGGTTCTTAATCTGAGTAAGTGGACCTGTTTTGTTCCAAGACAAAAAGGAGGAAAACCTATCCTCATATTTTGTTACTGGCAAAGGAGGTCCCATGATGTAGCTGCTCGCGCCGAGCCCTCAGTACTCTGATAGTGGCATTGTCTTTGTGCTGTTCGCCTTTTGGCGTCCTCTGGTCTCACAACGTTGAGACGAGGCTCAAAAGAAAGCTGTCTCTGGTGTGGACCAATCAGTTTCAAAGACAATGCATCATATATGATCAGAGAATGTTTTTTGTTTGCATTCTGGCCACAAGCATTGTGGTTAATGCAGACACGATTCCTTGTCAGAGGCTTCAGTTTGGTGTTTTAACATCTCAACACAGCTCTGTTTTGTTGCCAGAAAAAAAGGGGGAGAACCTAGTCTCATGTACTGGCAGTCTATAATGTAGACTGTAGCAATGGTTATTAAGTTTGGTGAGTGTACTGGCAGTCTATAATGTAGACTGTAGCCTCGTTATTAAGTTTGGTGAGTGTACTGGCGGTCTATAATGTAGACTGTAGCCTCGTTATTAAGTTTGGTGAGTGTACTGGTAGTCTATAATGTAGACTGTAGCCTCGTTATTAAGTTTGGTGAGTGTACTGGCAGTCTATAATGTAGACTGTAGCAATGGTTATTAAGTTTGGTGAGTCTACTGGCAGTCTATAATGTAGACTGTAGCAATGGTTATTAAGTTTGGTGAGTGTACTGGCAGTCTATAATGTAGACTGTAGCCTCGTTATTAAGTTTGGTGAGTGTACTGGCAGTCTATAATGTAGACTGTAGCCTCGTTATTAAGTTTGGTGAGTGTACTGGCGGTCTATAATATAGACTGTAGCCTCGTTATTAAGTTTGGTGAGTGTACTGGCAGTCTATAATATAGACTGTAGCCTCGTTATTAAGTTTGGTGAGTGTACTGGCAGTCTATAATGTAGACTGTAGCCTCGTTATTAAGTTTGGTGAGTGTACTGGCGGTCTATAATGGAGACTGTAGCCTCGTTATTAAGTTTGGTGAGTGTACTGGCAGTCTATAATGTAGACTGTAGCAATGGTTATTAAATTTGATGAGTGTACTGGCAGTCTATAATATAGACTGTAGCCTCGTTATTAAGTTTGGTGAGTGTACTGGCGGTCTATAATGTAGACTGTAGCCTGGTTATTAAGTTTGGTGAGTGTACTGGCAGTCTATAATGTAGACTGTAGCCTCGTTGTTAAGTTTGGTGAGTGTACTGGCAGTCTATAATGTAGACTGTAGCCTGGTTATTACGCTGAGTGAGTGTACTGGCAGTCTATAATGTAGACTGGAGCCTCGTTATTAAGTTTGGTGAGTGTACTGGCAGTCTATGTTGACTGTAGCCTCGTTATTAAGTTTGGTGAGTATACTGGCAGTCTATAATGTAGACTGTAGCCTCGTTATTAAGTTTGGTGAGTGTACTGGCAGTCTATAATGTAGGCTGTAGCCTCGTTATTAAGTTTGGTGAGTGTACTGGCAGTCTATAATGTTGACTGTAGCCTCGTAATTAAGTTTGGTGAGTGTACTGACAGTCTATAATGTAGACTGTAGCAATGGTTATTAAGTATGGTGAGTGTACTGGCAGTCTATAATGTAGACTGTAGCAATGGTTATTAAGTTTGGTGAGTGTACTGGCAGTCTATAATGTAGACTGTAGCATCGTTATTAAGTTTGGTGAGTGTACTGGCGGTCTATAATGTAGACTGTAGCCTCGTTATTGAGTTTGGTGAGTGTACTGGCAGTCTATAATGTAGACTGTAGCCTGGTTATTAAGTTTGGTGAGTGTACTGGCAGTCTATAATGTAGACTGTAGCCTGGTTATTAACCTGAGTGAGTGTACTGACAGTCTATAATGTAGACTGTAGCCTGGTTATTAAGTTTGGTGAGTGTACTGGCAGTCTATAATGTAAACTGTAGCCTGGTTATTAAGTTTGGTGAGTGTACTGGTAGTCTATAATATAGACTGTAGCCTGGTTATTAGTGTTCTGACAGTCTATAATGTAGACTGTAGCCTGGTTATTAAGTTTGGTGAGTGTACTGGCAGTCTATAATGTAGACTGTAGCCTGGTTATTAACCTGAGTGAGTGTACTGACAGTCTATAATGTAGACTGTAGCCTGGTTATTAAGTTTGGTGAGTGTACTGGCAGTCTATAATATAGACTGTAGCCTGGTTATTAAGTTTGGTGAGTGTACTGGCAGTCTATAATGTAGATTGTAGCCTAGTTATTAAGTTTGGTGAGTGTACT